ACTAACCAATTTCAATTTTAGAAAAGTCAAAGTTTTATGCCGATTTGTGACTGTCTGGAGTTAAGTTAAGTGTTTTGAAATAGCTTAAGCTATGATTAGGAAGGTCAAGTTAGGTAATGAACCGATCTAATAATTAACCCTTTGAGTGCCTCGAGCGGGTGAAACAATTTTATTTTAAGTTTGCCAGGCCTACATGTCTTGCTTCTAGGAATGCCAGCCATTTCTCCACATAAATGTAGGTGTTTAGGAAAATTGTCACAAAATACTGTATTAACATTTTCGGCCTAAATTTGTTTTTTTGTAGGTTACCGAACCGTGAATTGTAAAATACGGTACTTTCCTGTTAAAGAGAACATTCATTATTAACTTATCGGTGATTTATTTTTGATTATATCGATATTTTTTATTTGATCTGTACCTACCTATTGATATTAACAAATTGAAACTTACCCATCAGCTGACAACCATGATTTAAATAAATATTGTTCAGTATTAACAAACAATAAAAAAAATATTAGGCTATATTGAAATGAAACTGTTCTTAACTAACCAAACTTCCTGTAACATTTAAAAATTCCGTTTGACAGCCTATTCCCCATATACCTTTTCTGTTATCGAACGGAATTTTAAAATGGTAACTTAGCCTACCTAAAGCAAGTGTGTGGTTAATTATGTTAGGTTAGTTTAGAATAGGGTAATTATTGCGATGAGGGTGACCAAGAGTACTAACTTATAGTAATTTATATAAGTTAGGACTATATAACTTATCATTAAAAACTAGGTTTTTACTTGAAAACAATGGTGCATAAATTTTTCTGCTGTCACAAAAACTGTATTAACTAGTCCTACGGTTTTTTGAATTTTATTTTTAAATGTTTTATTAGGGACATTGAATCTGCACTTCATGTTTGTAAAATCGAATTATTGATTGATTATAAGCCATTTTAAAGTAAATATTACTTTAAACACAAGCCCACACTTAAAAAAGTAAATAATGTACGTTAATTTAATTAGGCTATATATAATATTTTGTTAAAATTAATTAATTAAAAAAAAAAAACACCTCTAGGTCGGACATACTTAATCTGGATCTGGACTGGATTATAAAAATTTTGACCATATAACCGTTAAGTCATATGCTATAAATTTTAAACACCTTGGCAGAGTCTTCTCTTAGTAATGCAGTCGCCTGGTTCTCGGCCAATAAACTGTTTTGTAATGAAACTAATATAATATATATATATAATAATAATAAGTCAATAAGTCATTTATTGGGCCAAATTGACAATACTTGCATTAGCCAAGTCAGTACAAGAAAAATAAATTTATTACATCTTAATAACAAAAATTCCTTACTGTAAAAAATTCTATAACTAAATAACTAAACATGCGCACATGACTTTGTGAATGACCACTAAAGTAGAAATTCACAGACGCTGTAAAATGATCTATCTAACAACATGGACTTTAGACCTGTTCTAAACTTTTTTGGATCTTGTTCGGCCTTCAATTGAGGTGGAAGTCTATTAAATAGTTTTACAGAATTGTAATGGAAGTTTCTTTGAAAGAAAGAAGTGGAATGCCGGGGAATTGGTAGATTTAAAGTATTGCACAATGGATACCTGGAACTTTTTGCAGATGAGAAAAAGGAAGTATTTTTGCTATGGAAAGATAGAGTTTCGAGGATGTAAATATATGGGAAAGTTAAAATTTTAAATTCTCTGAAATAATCTCTGCATGATTGTTGTTTGGAAATAGAAAACACAATTCGAATTGCCCTTCTCTGAAGCCTAAACAAGAACCTAGTCCTCTCACTTTCGCACCCCCAAACAGGAACCGCATAAGTCAGATGAGGGTAGACAAGCCCATAATAGGCTGATAATAGGACATCAGTGGTGGCTGATTGGCTGAGAACTCTCAGCATAAATATACCCACCGATATTTTCTTGCTGATGTGCTCGATGTGGCTGTGGAATTTGAGGTTTTCATCAAGGACAAGACCGAGGAATTTTACTTTTGAAGAAGGGAAGATAGTGTTATCGTCGAGGAGAATGTTCAAGTCATAGTGGGACCGTTTTGACCGGTTAGAAATGGAAAATTTTACTATTTGGGTTTTTTGAGCGTTCAAGATTAGGTAATTTTCTTCACACCACTGAAGAAGGGAGTTTGATTCCAGAAAGGTGACAAGTTCCAATTCCTCCATACTCGGTCTAGACACAGTTAGGGAAGTGTCGTCCGCGAATAGGCATACATTTGCCTCCTTTACGCTAAATGGCAGGTCATTAATGAACAGAAAGAAAAGGATCGGCCCCAGGACGGACCCCTGTGGCACACCCCTCTTTACTACAGCCTCAGAAGATACATGGTTCCGTAGATAGCCCGTGTTATCAACTGCAGGTATGATTACAGTCTGCCTTCTACCTTCAAGATAGGACGAAAACCAGTCGAGAGCTGTGCCTCTAATGCCCATTTTATTCATTTTGCTAAGGAGAAGTCTATGGTTTACGAGGTCAAAGGCCTTACTGAAATCAAAAAACATCCCAGCTACTGCTAGTCTAGAATCCACATCTTTTACTATTCCGTTTATGAGACTGAGAATTGCGCTTGTCGTTGATTTGTTTTTAACAAACCCGTGCTGACTTTTAAATAGTATGCTGTGTTTCTCAAGGAATATCCACAATCTACTCAGCACTGCCTTCTCAAAAACTTTGGAGGAGGTCGAGACTAGTCTTATAGGGCGGTAGTTGTTGCAGCACATTCTATCTCCATTCTTAAATATAGGTCTTATTAGTGATGCCTTAAGGTTGCTAGGAAATCTTCCCTCAACAAAGGAAGTGTTTATCAAGTGGCATAGAGGTTTTGTAACTACATCTGATATATATTTGAGCAAATTCGGGGATATTTTGTCAATTCCAGCAGACTTTTTATTTTTTAATCCGTTAATTATACTTTTAATTTCTTCCTCGGTAACGGGACTCAGAAAAAATGAGGAATTTATTTGTTTTTTATTTGAACTGAAAGAGGGAGTGTTTCTTTTTTTCAATCAAGCATGCTTTCCCACTTCAACAAAATGCTTATTGAAGGCCTCACATACCTCCTCTGGTTTGACCACCACATTACCGTTGTTGTTTTTGAGAGAAATGCCTTCCTGTTCCCTTTTCCGTTTTGGTCTAATATAATTTATTACCTTCCAAGTTCCTAATGTTTTATTGCTCGACTTTTCAATTGTATTTAGTACTGATTGTGCTTTAATATCTCTCTTATCAAGTTTCTGTATCGGAGTTTCAGTCTCATATTGTACTGTCTTAGGAAATGATCAGAGTGTAAGTCTTTTGTCTTTTCGTAATACTGGAAACACTGTTCTTTCAGATGAAGCAGTTCTGGAAAAAGTTTGATTAGTTTCTTGGGTTTATTCTTAATTATTTTATTTATTTTCGGAAATGAAATTTCAAAGTAATGGCCAAGTGTGCTGTTAAATATATTGTACTTTTCCTGCGTGCTTTCTGCTTTGTATAAATCGACCCAGCTCTCTCGACCAAGTAAATATTTAAAAGATTCCATGTTTGATACACTAAATTTTCTACAGTACCGAAACTTCGCCCCTGCGTCCTTATTGGATGGAGATATTTCAAGCTTCATAGTTTGAGCGTAATGGTCAGATAAAAATGATTTGACAACATCACTTTCGGGGCTGTTACTGTCATTCGTGAATATATATGGTCTATGAGGGTACGTGAACCTAACGCTTCTCTTGTGTATGATTTTATGACATTGTGCAAATCATATGAAGATAAGGTCAAACTATTACTTTAAGTTTAAACAAAGATTTAGAAAATAAATCTGTAAAACTGAGCCTTTACATATTGCTTTCCTGCATATGGAAACAGCAAGGAGGATATGGCAAGAGTTCAAAGAATTCTAAATTCTGCCACAAGGTTCATTTTTGGCCCTTATCACTTTGATCACGTGTCCTCATTCCTCTGCGTGGTACTCCTTCGGACAGTAGGCTTCAGGCTTCACTTTCCTAAAGTGAGGCTTGAAGTTGGAAGAAAGTAGTTTTCTTCATAATAATGCTTCATTATACTAAATTATTTGTTTTTTTAAGCTCTTCAAAAGGGTTTGGAAAGAAATTGTGAAATTTTGTGTTTTTAGGGTGAAAAATGGGAAAAACCTATTTTTACCCCATAAAGCCCCCCACAAACCCCCGTTACCATAGTCCATATGCTGCTTCGGGAACTCGCTCGAATAAATGTTGGTTTACACATTTGTACCAAATTTAATCAAAATCTAATAATTTTCGCTCGAGTTATTGTGCAACGATATATATGTTATTTATATATTATAAATACTCATGTTATTTTATATATTATATATATAGGCTATGAATTTGAACGAATGGTGTTTTTGGTCTCTAGGGACCTCAAAACAAAAAAGTAAATCGGTCCCGGGTCCAGGTCTTACCATGAGTTCTACGGTAATAGCTTATTCCCTATATGGGAAATTCGCTAAAACTAAAATGTTAGTGTAAATATTTTTCATATTAATTACTTGTATATTATATTTGTGTAAATATTAGGTTACCTTAGTTTTAGTTTGACTTGAGTCAGTTTCCTACATGAAACTCGCTTGCATATAAACTTATAAAGACCTTTTTATTTTATTTTTATTTTGTTGATTCTATTTTAATGTCTAATACACCATTAAAGCTGTTAGTAGGAGCAAGTAGCTTTCATTTAGTAATTTTCACTTTTAAATCTCTTAGTTTTCATTCATCGTTATAGGCTACTTGAGTATCATTCATATAATTCATATCCATATATTTTACGTATATTGAGTATATATTGTTAATGTTTTGTATATTCCATCATCAGGTAGGCCATTGGCTATGTTATTATTACACCATGATATTGATTTCCTCTCCCCAACTCTCCTCCCCCTCCCTTTATACAACCACCCCACCCCACTGGAATCAATATTGTCTTATAGTTTCATGTGATTCGTATGTACTGCTCTGGAGAACTGAAAATAGTGATTATTTCTTTTAGTGTTGATTTATAACATTGTATTATCCTTGAGTAGTGACAATGGACATTAATAATGTACATTATTATTTGCCATCAATAGTTTGATATTGTCACTTCTTTACAGCGTAAATTAGCTTACTTTAACACTACAGTTCACCGGTGGTGGAAATTGCTTTTACAGATAATTGATTTAGGATATTCTCTCTAGTATTTACAATTTAATATACATTTTTATACTTGGTGACCTCAGCACTGGATATTTATCAAAATGATAGGTCTTAATTTGTATTTATATTCTTAGTCTTTGTTTGTTGTCAAGATGAACATACAATAATGTACACCAAGTATTGATTAATGCAATACCGATGGCATGTCATAAACAAATTAGTTTAAAATGACTACGATTTAAATCGACAGTGCTTAAAAAAAATTAAACAATCAATTTAGGCATATTTTTGAACTCAGTTTTTATTTTGTTGGTTAGGCCTACATACTTAACACTGAACCTTTAAATATCTAGGTTTTCCTTACAGACCCACTGTTCTACTAAACTTTGCAGATTCATTGAACTCCTCTAAAATAACCTAAAGGTCTTGATCTCAAGCAGCACAACTTTAAACATTTAGTGCACAAGCTACTAAAAAAAGTCTGTCTAGAACACTTAGATCAAAATCTGTTAGCTGCCTTCAGCCTATTTAAATGCATGTTGGGTTATGTTTGGTAACACCATGGTCACTTGATTACTATTTTGAATGGGATGTAAAATATTTTCATTTTTGTTTAGTCTCAAAATCACATAAACATATAAGTGAGAGGTTAATGTTACCATAATTTTGTCTAGTGATTCCTTAAACTCTTCTATGATGTCAATAGTTTTGGCGCATATGTCCCCTTCCTCAGATTCTTGTCAAGCATAACAAGCTACTCTCATATTGAGGTTGTACACATTTAACATGCAGATACAAAAATTACAACACAAAGGTTATAGTTGTTGGTAACTTTTATGTCATGTCTTAGTGTTGTTATTCTTAACAAGAATCTGAAGAAGAGAACGTTGTCACCGTAACGATCACTATCCATCCATGGAGGAGTTTAAGAAATCAATAGACATAATCTAGGTAAAATAACTTACTATTCTAACCATTAGGGATACCCGGTGCCCTACTGGGGTGGAGGGCAGCTAATAGATTTTGACAAAATTGTCTTGTAAATAGACAATTTTAAAGCGGTTTTAAAAACATATACTTTTTCCTAGCCCCTAAGATTATTTTAGGTTTTGTTATTTCCAAAACTCCTGTGGCGAGTGACATTGTAGTGTTACTGTGAGTGATAAGTGATAGAGAATGAGGATGCTGGACCAGGACGTTGCTATGGCAGGAGCCCAAGACACTATCTACCTGTGTAACTTCCGTGTCTCTGTGGACGGAGAATGGCTCTGCCTCAAGGAACTGCAAGACGTTGAGTTCAATCTTCCTGAGAGTTTTCCGGTACCTCTCACACCCTCTCCTGTTGAGCCTCCTCCGATCATGCTTGGTAGGCTTGGATTGGCTCTCACTGTTGTCTGTGCTAAGGAGTTTTGTTTAAAGTACATATACCGGGTGTCCAAAACCACCTGTACACCCCTTTAAAAACGAGGGAAACCTTTTCTTACAAACAACAAATAATACAGAACTAAATAAACTGGGCACGGTCTATCAAATGGTGATAATTTCAAATCCAAAATCACACAGGAAGTGGCTTTTTCAGACCGGAAGTTTACTTTTTTAAATATACACTACCAATTTTTATTGCAGAATCGGATTCTACGTTTAAAAATACATAACTTTTGTCTAAAACATTTGTTGAAAAAACTTGTTTTCTACCTCTAATCCCCCAATAAAGTCAATAATTTTGAGTCATTCACCTGTCAAAGTTACTCGAAACAACAATAGAGAAAAACAAATAACAAAGTTTACATAAAGACATATGATGAATAGAATCAGCTGTTTATTGTAAACACCTTAGAAATTGAGTAACAGCTGGTCAACAAATTGCTTAATTTAATTTTTGTTTAAATAATTTGTTTTTACATTGGCCATTTTAATGTAAAAACAAATGATTTTTTTTATAAAATTATACTAAGCAATGTGTAGACCTGCTGTTACTCAATTACTATAGTGTTTACAATGAACAGCTGATTCTATTGGTCACATGTCTTTATGTAATCTTTATTTTTGTTTTTCTCTATTATTGTTTCAAGCAACTTTGGCAGATGAATAACCCTAAATTATTGACTTTAAAATAGGGGATTAGAGGTAGAAAACTAGTTTTTTCAAAAAATGTTTTATACAAAAGTTATGTATTTTTCAATGTAGAATCTGATTCTGTAATCAAAATTGGTAGCTTACATTTGAAAAAGTCAACTTCCGGTCTGAAAAAGCCACTTCCGGTGTAATTTTGGATTTGAAATTATCACCATTTGGTAGACCGTACCCAATTTAGCTAGTTCTGTATTGTTTTTTGTTTGTAAGAAATTGTTTCCAACGTTTTGAAAGGGGTGTACGGGTGGTTTTGGACACCCAGTATAGATGCTTTTTGGGATGTCCACAGGTTGTATTTAAGTTGTTTTGGATGATATTTATGTTCTTGTACCAAACAGCAAGATAGACTGAAATGTCTACTGGTCAGTGAAATAAGCAGTTTCACTTGAGAGTTTCAGAAAAGTCACTGATTTTAATGAATGACACAATTTTTATTAAGGCCACTGTACATTTTTTATCCACTAAAATTATTTTCAACAAAAGGAAAGCAGTTAGTATATTAATGATGTTAGTTAGTAACACAAAAATTTTCACACTCATGATTAGTTAAAAATTTATTTAATTCATGAAATTTTCCCAGTTGCAGAAAAAAAGAATCACTGAAATGTTTCATATTTGTATTTTAGAAATCTAGTAGATATCCTGCTTATTACTAAACTTGCAGGAATATATTTACTCCATGACCTTGTTACAAAATTAATTGACACTAAGAGACAATGTACAGTGTGTACTGAAATATCGCTTATAGGGAAAGCAGTCCAAACCCATTATGTGTTGTGCCAGGAATTGAACGAAGTGAATGACTGTGGGGGCAACAATGGACAAGTCAACCTGCACTTACTGGTTTTTACTGGTGAACACAATGTTATTTGAATGGGCAAAAAAAAAACAACAATCAGGCCCGGAGAGCCCTCCGGAAAATATGTACCTGCGCCCATATTTTCCGTAAAAACGTTTCAGTACATTTAAAACCCAACAATTACGATTAAAAATAGTCTGAGTAAAAACTCTGTTATAAAATATCTCATATAAATGCGTAGTTTAACACTTACAAACTACTACACAAGGCAACGTCGACTGCAGTCAGAATAACACTTGACACGGACGCATGATGCTTCACTGCAGTACGGCTAAAGGTCATTAACACTCCCGCCCCACCCACTCGCCAAGCGCCAAGGGTACACAGAGCAAAAAATAATTCTTTGCTATGTGCGAGGGTAGTGTAGTAGAGGAGTGGGGCGAGGGCGTAGTCGTGCCAAAGAATATAGTGTTTAGTTGGTGAGTTTGTTTTGTTTTAGTATCTACGCTTAAAACTTCTGCAAGAACTTTTTCGTTCATGGAGTCGCACCATACAGGGTGATTTGTACTTAGTGTGACAAAATTTTTTTGGTGTAAGTACAAAGTAAATGAAGTGTGATGATGCATATCAAATGTTCCAAGTCTCAAAATTAGCGACCCAAAAAATTATTTTATGCTTTTCAAAAATAACCATGTTTTTAAACTTAATACAGCGATTTATCAATTACCTGTATATGGATTTGAGTAGATAATGTCATTTTCGTGTTCTACATTAAATTTTGAACAAGAATGGTAGAAAAAGACGGAGGATCAGTCGTAAAAACTCCATTGTAAATAGATTCAAAGATAAAAATTAAGATGTTTGATAAAAATTTTAAAAACAATGGTCTATTGCATTTTTCACACCCTGTACACAAGAAAGTGTCGGAATATGATAAAAACTGCACCATTTTATAAGCTTTCCAACGATAACTATTGAGGTTTATGTCTGCTTATATACGCTTTAATTGTTTGAAGACTGCAAAGCATGGTGTATTTAACATTTAAAACATAGAAAGTCGGCATGTATTAAGCAAAAGTTGTATTTTTGATTCAGGTTGAACAGTAAAAACAGTAAAAAGTTCCCTGTTTTCTGGTATTCAAACCACTCTTACAAACAAAAAAATATCTAAACCTCAATAGTGTAGCACATGGTTGGAAAGCTTATAAAATGGCGCAGTTTTTAACATATTCCGACACTTTCTTTTATACAGGGTGTGAAAAATGCAATAGACCATTGTTTTTTAAATTTTTATCAAATGTCTTAATTTTTATCTTTGAATCTATTTACAATGGAGTTTTTATGACTGATCCTCCGTCTTTTTCTACCGCTAATTTTGAGACTTGGAACATTTGATATGCATCATCACACTTCATTTACTTTGTACTTACACCAAAAAAATTTTGTCACACTGAGTACAAATCACCCTGTATTTAACGTAAGAAAATGGAAATTAGTTTTACTTATGTTGTTTTAAGTCTGATCAAACAACGAACCGAACTGAAGGAGTCATTGGAGGTTAGCGGCTATCTTGGATTAACTCCAAACAGCTGCTGAAGGCTTCATCATCCCTAAATATTATTTTTCAAATACCAAGTGATTGTAATTTAAATATCTAGGGCAATGTGAGATTAGAAATTGCCTTTGTAGGCTAAAAAGACAATTTCTAATCTCACATTGCCCTAGATATTTAAATTACAATCACTTGGTATTTGAAAAATAAATTGTAGGCCCCTAGTTTTGTTAAGGTAATACATCTTGGACAATATGCCAAAAGATAAAAAAAGGTTATTTTGAAAGTGATAACAAATTTCTAAAGTAAAATTTGATATATATTTTACCCACTCTCCACGTTCTAAAGTTAAGTGCCATAATTCATTTAGAAATGGTAAAATAAAATGAACGGTAGACATGGTTAACAGTTCAGTTTGTGTTTAGTGAATATGTGGCAACACACAACGTAAGTAACGAAACCTATAAAAATTCATCAAGAAATGAACAAGCAAATCATGCAATTTGCTTGTGAGAGAATAGCTTAAAACACGTTTTTAAGACTTAATTTTTCAAAAATCTTCCGGGCGAGGACCCCCGGACCCCCCCCCCTCCACCCCCCAGACCCCACGGAAGGCTGGATGACAGCACCAGATTTGCGCCCTCCATCAGGTAACAGGCAGCGCCCTTTTAGGTGTCCCAGTCCGGCCCTGACAACAATAATAACTTCTTGTCCATTAATTAACCGAAGTCATTGGACAAATTTGTGGTGGATTTCCAACAATTATTGATAGGTGGTAAATCCATCGCTTCTGTTCACTTGAACGATGAGCACAGGTCAACCCGCTTAAAAAGCGATTATAATCCAAAATCTTCAAAGATTTGAACCATTAAAAAATCATGTAACCATAAAAAAACCATGTAAAAGAAACATATTAAACATTTTAAATGATTGATTCATTGAATAGTCGTACATCAAAGAATTATATTTTTGCCCCTAATTCAATGAATTGTGTGACTCATTTTTTAAAGTCATTTAATCCACCAACTTTGAGAGTAGTTAAAAAACTACATTTTTCTTCTCAAATAAACTGAATTGGCACAAAAACTTATCATCGTGTAATGCCGAAGATCTAACCCGCAATCTGTAGTAAATTTGCGAGCAGTTTAGTTTATTTTGTCATGTAGGCAAGCCAGGGGGCGTAAATTTTGTTCTTTGGACTACTTACAAAAATCAAAGTTCTTTGATATACAGTTTTAATCCCTTATTACATGAGTAACATAAATACAATTTTTAATATTAGCCTATGTTTAAATTGGTTTTATCATGCCGATATTAAATCATTACATCCTGTAGTTAAAAACATAAGTACAAATACATCAAGAAAAATCTATTTATTTAATTTCAAATACTTTTAATACATATTTCTTATCATTAGTCTTAAGATTTTAATCACTCAGTCCTATCGTTCAAATAACTTAATTTAGCCTATTCCATCTGATTTGCCAATCTGACAAAATTAAGGGAATGCTTTTTCATGAAATTGGCATTGCAGTACAGTATGACCTCCAGAAATAAAAGTAAAATCTGGTAATTTTGGAACAAAACAAATATTTCACAGGTTAAGTTTATTACATGTATAATATTTATTCGGTAGTTTTAAAGATTATGTTTGCCTACAGCATGTTTTGTTGTTTAAAACGTAATATTGAATTGGACAATGTAAACAGCTGCTTTATAAAAAATCAATTCAAACAAAGTTCTTACATTTTCTTTCTTTAAACAAATCAAAAGTGATCCACTAGAGTGCAGGATCTGATCTTTTTGTTTCTGATCTTTTATCCTTTTACAGATTGTTTTTAAAATGTTAAAATTAACTTTCTTATTAACAATTGAGCTGAATCGTCAAGAATTTTTATGGCAGATTCCCCGTAGTGCCGTAATTATTTGTGCAACATTTATGCTATTAGTGCTACGGTTCTTAAGTTTTCGCGTTCCTAACACAGTCACAAGTGGGACAACTAATCTCCAACTCCGCCATACACGATAGACAGATTCATTCACTTTGTTCACTCGTCTTTTAACTTCGCAAGTTTTCTTAGATGAATAAACATTGCATTCTTTTCCAGCTCGAGACCCAGTGATCATTGAAAGACGTAACCTGGTTAACATTTCCAAACTGATTGTAAAGGAGTTGATTGAGACGTCCCTCAAGTTTGGACGAATGCTTGACTCTGATCATATGCCTCTACAACACTTCTTCATAGTCCTGGAACATGTGCTGAGGCATGGGCTAAGGCCTAAAAAGGTAAGCCAGATGGCAACCATAGCTAAATGCTAAATGTGTTTAGCTAAATGCTCACTTAACATAGTGTGGTATACTCATTTGTACTTGTTATACAGTTCAATATCAAAAAGAGCTCTTAATTGGTTTTCTTCCTATTTGACAAATAGATCTCAATTCCTGGAAGTTACCCATTTGACAAATCATATTAGAATTATATCAAATCATCATCAACTTATCAACCAATTAAATTTGGGGTGCCACAAGGCTCAATTTTGGGCCCTTTGCTTTTTTGCGTGTTACCTTAAGGGCATGGAAGATACTTTACACACTACTTACATTCACTCCCATATTTCATTCGGTTTAGCATTATATGGCTCAACAAAAATATTAAATATGGATAGCATTCTGAAGCGACAAAAACAAGCTATCAGAATTATGCTTAAGCTTAAACGAGATGATTCGGCAAAAGAACATTTTAAGTAATTACAAATTTTTACAGTTTATGGGGGGTTATTATTTATGAAACAATTCTTATCGCAAAAAAAAATGAATCTGAGCAAGTAATAAATTCAGTGCATTCTTATAATTTCAGGAGGAGAAGGGTTTGTCCAGCCTCACAAATTAAATTTTTTTGAAAAAAAAACCCTCATATGCTGGTAACGATTTTCTAAAATTTGTCCCTGAATTCATAAAAAAAGAAACGTACATATCTAAATTCAAGAAAATTCTAAAAGAGCATATAATAAATCTAGCATTATATTCATTTGATGAATTTTCCACCTCCCATAAATAAAAATAGTATTTTTATTTTAAGTATTATGACACTTTTCACTGTACCACCAATGTACATGATTTACGAATAAAGATGTTTGAATATGAATATATGAATTTCAGGGGTTGTTGGGACCAAAGAAGGAGCTGTGGGATCTTCTCCAGGTGGTTGAAAAGTTAGCTCCTGAGGCTGCAGACATCACTACTAGTGTACGAGACCTACCAACTGTTAGGTAATATCTGCTGTCAATATATCCTCTAGTGGACTAGTTGTTTTATTTGTGCTTCACGTTGGGGTGAGGAAAAATAAGAGAATAATAGGATTTTCAAAAAAGCTGTTATAGTCTAGTCAAGATATGAAATAAAACTCCTTAACCTTAAAAAAAATTGCTCTAAGAGGTTTTTTATGGTTTACATTTCCAATAAGTATGTGAAATAATATACTAAAAGTCTAATAAAATCAGAGTCTCAAAAATTGGGTTTTTACAATATGGCGTCCAGAAATTTGAAAACATATTAAACCTTACTATTCTTTCCATATAATCTCTTCTGAACCTCCAATTAATACCGAATTTGGTACAAACCTGTGAAACTGTATAATATAGACATACCCCTGCCACAGAAAACCTGCAAGGAAATTTCCATCTATTTGGCTGGAATTCCACAAAATTGTTCCCTTAAAATTGTCAGATTTATTTCCTATTTGAACATCATTAATTATAATGAGTACTTAGGTTTGGTACAACAAGGAAGACAACGTGTGTTTTTTTATTGAAATTTTTATAGCTTAGTATGAAGCCTACTTATTCAAAACCTTTATAGTCACTTTAAACCCCTAATGCAGCAAACCTAAGTACTCGTTAAACTAATGCTATTTAAATAGGGAATAAATGAGATATTTTTAAGGAGACATTTTAGTGTAAATCCAATCAGGCAAATGAAAATTCGCTTAGTCTGCAGGTTTGCTGCGTCGGGGGTATTTCAACTAACTAATAACTTCTATCGGATACTTTTTTAACTAAGTTACTAATAACTTCCATCAGTTACTTTTTAAAGGACTAACTTCTAACTAGTTAAATTTTTTTACTAACTTTCCCAACTATGTGACTCTTTGTAAGCCTGAAGATGGATCATCCATGAACTGAAACTAGTTACCACAACAGCAACCAATGATTACTTTATGCAAGTGTTTAAATTAAACCATTTTAATGTACTGTAAAAAACAGTTCCCACCAGTGACTATTTAAACAAAACTCAAAAAAGCTACTTCAATTTTGGAAATTCTGTTAATTTTTCCAAGGTAGGCCTAATTACTTACCTTATACTGGTTATACTGGTTGACAATTTGAATATGTTGCAGAAATTCATTTTCAGAGCAATCTACAGTAGATCACACTTTCAAAACGTTTGAATTGACTTTCGGATACTAAAGTAATCACATTTATATGGACCAGCTATGGACTATTTTCTGTCAAAAAATAAAATAGGTTAATTTTTCTGCCTTGGTTTTTGTTGCTGAGATAGTGATGTGAAGTAGACCTATGCTATAGCTGACAATAAGTCGTCCTATCAGTTTGACTTGGTTAATATGTTGTCATAGTTAACAGAAATCAGTAATTTACATAGTTGTACCATAGATAAAACATACTCCCAGTAGATTTGTCATCCTTATGGATCAGCCGAAGCCAATTTTATTGTTAGTTCTGTACGTCGCACTGTAGAGGTTGTGTTTTTTTTAAAATTTGTTTCTTGTTATTTCAGTAATTTAAAACCTAGTTTAACCAAATAAAACAATCTAATCATAAACAATAACTGGTCTCCTAGTCAGGGCCGTCCCTGGGGTTGGCGGCACCCAGGGCAAACATGGTCGCGGTGCCCCCTCCCCCCCTGTAGTATTCACATTCATGTGTTATTACTTACAAAATTTCATCTACATTAGCGATCGGTGTCGAACATGAACTAGACACGAAAAACAAGCTTCCAAATTTACAATGGGATGAGAAGTCTGCTTGTGTTGCGTAGTCTATGGCTGTGTTCCATTTGGTGGCTCAATAAACTATGTCCCTTTCGATTCAAAAACTGGCAACAACTTAAACATGGGGATGGTTGTCTAGTTCTATCTGTAGTCAAAGAAATCGGAAACTAGGCTATTTTAACCAGTTCCATGCCACGGTCATCTAATGAAACCAAGATTCTACATTCTTCAATGACCGTGGAAGCCTACTCTCTAGTTAAAAGAAAGCAATAATAAAACGTTTTTAGAACACACATGGGACGTGCGAGGGCGTGGTTAAGGCTGGCTCTGATGCAGAAGAAGTTGTCAGACTATGTGAAGGTGTTGGTGGATCATAGAGACGATGTGATGGCAGACTTCTTTGAGCCAGATGCTCTCATGATGAGTGAAGAGGCCAATGTCATCGAGGGGCTGTTGACTGGGCTCAACGTCATTGACTGTAACCTGTGTGTCAAGGTAACTGTGGGTTATACAATAATTCCCTCCTAATCTAATGTGGGTAGAAAAATAATAGTTTTATATTTTGAAGATGTAGTAGTGCAGAAAATTGAAAATTAACTTTTAAAACTACAAATTAACTTGGGTTGATCAGTTGACATATTGCAATTGTACAATTCTAATCTGTTGTTTAAAACTTTTTTTGAAAACGACATGGTTAATTGCTAAAAAAAAACTTTAAACAATTTTACAAACAGAATTTTATTCTTTTTTTCTACAGTAAAACTTGGCTAACTTGACATTTTTTAAAACCATTTGTGAGTTGTCGAGTTATCTAGAAGATTGAATGGGTTTTAATAATTAATAATACACGACAGACTAATTTTTACATTCAAATTTATTACTTACATGAGTATCTTTACATTGAGTAAACAATCTTCAAAGAATCTTATTAATAATCTAATATTCAGTCGTCCTTGAAAATTTGAACTCACTAAGACAAAGCCACCTATACGTGCGCCATGTTGACTGTAGAGTTACACAGAGAGTCGAGTTAGTGAGGTTTTAGTGTATTTTCAACTGGAAAATATCTGACTTTAAACATTTTTGCAATTTTTCTGCTCCGTTACTAACTGACAAAAAATGAGTTTTTTGGTTCATTCTAACAGTTAATAATACAGCTTAAGTCCAAGCATTGACTATTGGATACAGAAGTTGTTGTATTAATAGTCAAAGGTCCAAGGTTTTTTTAAAAACTGAACAAGTCCTCTGGGTGCTTTTGGCAGAGCATAACTTTTTTTTGCTATTCAGAAAATTCTTTTATGACTATTTTAGAAGTATTTCCGGTACCCTACCAATAATAATGGTAATTTTTATAACTCAGTAATCATTCAAAGTCCTACATGTACCGGATATGTGGTAGGAGGAGGACCTGGACTGCCAGCAAGGAGTGATTGACTTCTCCCTGTACCTACGGTCCAGTCACACCCTCAGTACGGGGGACTTGCCTACTGATGAGTTGGATCCTGACAACATGACTACTGTGCTGGACCAGAAGAACTACATAGAGGAGCTCAACAGGCACCTCAAGTCAGTAAAATACTTAGTTAGGTGCTTACTAGAACCTATTTTATCTGCAGTTGTCAATGTTGTCATACAAAGTTGCATTTTGTTAACTCGTGTTCGTTTGCAAAACTGCTGATTTCTTTCCCTTTACTTTGTCTACCCTACTAGATGGCCTACTACTTTTCCTCACTACGGATGGCAAATGAAAAAAAATTAGACTAAGTTTATTGAAATTGAAAAGGGAGGTACACTTAAAGACTAAGATGGCAGGAATAGGTAAAGTAGGTGAATTCAACCCACATGATGAGTCCATTGAATCATACGCAATGAGGCTTAAGCATTATTTCAAAGCTAATGAAATTGATGACGATACTAAAGTTTCTGTTTTAATAACTGTTGTAGGCCCAAAAGTTTTAACTATTTTGTCTGATTTAGTTTCACCTGCAGCTGTAGATAACAAAAGTTATGAAGAGTTAGTTAAAGTGCTGTAGAACTATTTTTCTCGAAATAAATTGGTGGTAGGAGAGAGATACACTTTTTATTCCCAAGTGCAAAAATCTAGTGAGAGTATTTGAGAGTTTGTTGTAGTGATTAAACATTTAGCTAGTTCATGTAAATTTGGCACATTCATAAAGAGGTTTTTTGAGACAAGCTTATTTCAGGGACAAGTAATGAGGCGATATGGTAAAAATTATTGTCTGAAAATCAAGAATATGATGAAGCTTATAGTTTGGCACTCAGATTAGAGCAGGCTGAAAAACAGACAAGTTTGTCCGATCCAAAACAGGAAATTTGTCATTTAAATTCCAAGACCAATTTTTCACATGTGAATCAAAATAGACCGACTGGTAGTCAGTTCAATTCAGCTAGTGTTCCTGGGATGACTAATATTAATGCTAAATTCAAGTGTTACAGATGTTGTTCAGTTGAACATAGGGCCAATGAATTTCCATATACAAATTATAAATGCAATGGGTGTAACTTGGTAGGGCATCTACTAAAAGCTTGCTGGAACCAAAGTAAAGTTAAGGAAGGACAAGTCAGGTTCTAATAGAGTCCATCACATTATATCCGAAGATGATGTCAATGAGCTTAGCCCAAGCTACAATGAAGTTTCAAATAATGTGTGTCTGTAAAACTTTTGATAAAGCAATGTTAGGGCAGCTTACAAGGTAAGGCTAACTATAGAGAAGGTTCTGGTGGAGATGGAAATTGACAGAGGGTCAGCTGCAGGTCTTCAAACATTTTTATTGAAGCTTTTTCTCATATTGAATTAAAGCCTGTTTCAATTAATTTGCGAAGGTTCTGTTGGAGATGGAAATTGACAACGGGTCAGCTGTATCAGTTTGTCCTTCAAACGTTATTAATGAAAGATTTCTCATATTGAATTTGCGAACCTACACGTGCCTGTTCTAGGTCAAGCTGAGGTTAGAGTTATACATAAAAACCAGAACCTAGTGTTACCACTGTTGATTGTTGAGGTTTGTCTTAAAGACCAGCCTATTTTGCTGGGAAGGAACTGGTTAGTGAAATTAAAGTTGGATTAGCATGCTGTCTTTTCAAGATCGTATGATACTTACGGTACTAAATCTAAGTCTACCAGTGAATGTTACTACATGTGAATTGAAGCAATCTACACAGCTCCACAAGTAGGCATTTGTACTGATCTTTGGAGTGAAGAAATTTCATAAATACATTTATGGGCATACCAATTGTATTTTACAAAGTGACCATCAGCCACTAGCAGCTATTTTTGGATCGAAGCGAGGGGTGCCTAGTTTAGCTGCTGCTCGCTTACAACGATGGGCCCTGATTTTGTCTGCCTACAATTTTGAGGTAAAATATTGGAAGGGTTCCAGTTTGCCCCACGCTGATGCGTTGTCACGCTTACCACTACTCGAGGATGAAACTTTGGAGTTGGATGAAAATTTACACTTCGTGTGGAATCTTGTGTAACAGAAATTAATTTCTTCAGTTCGGGGAGTGACAATTCTCCAATCCCTTCATTAGAGATAAAACATTTGACTGATAAAGACCCACTGTCGTCTAAAGTTCGGGATTTTGTGTTGTATGGGTGGTGTGAAATTGTAGACCCAATTTTAATTCGATTCCAGAGAAGGCAAGATGAATTGTCGGTGGATAAAAATTGCATTTTATGGGGCAGTAGGGTAGTCATACCTAAGAAATTGCAAGGTATAGTCATCCAGATATTGCATGAACAACATCCTGGAATTACTTGAATGAAATTGTTAACACACAGCCACGTGTGGTAGCCTTTGATCGAAAATGTAATTGAGGATACTGTGTAATCTCGTTTGAACACTTATCAATAGTGTAATCAAACTACAAGAAATGCTGCTTCAAAAGTTCCATTGCAGCAATGGCCGTTAACGTCCGAGAGATGGCGCCGAATTCATATTGATTTTTCTGAAGATCCAACCACCAGACAGCAAATGTTGATTGTAGTGGATAGTTTTTCAAAGTGGAAGGAAGTATTTTTAATGGGTTCTATTTCCACGGGAAACACCATTGAGAACTTTCGCACATTATTTTCTGCTTATGGTTTACTTGAAGAATTGGTGTGTGGTGTGTGACAACGGAATGTCTTTTACCAGCCTAGAGCTCAGGGAGTTTCTCAGGAAAATGGTGTGAAACTAACATTTCTCCACCATATCACCCTGCCTCCAATGGAGCAGCCGAGCATTCTGTTCAAGAAGTCAAGAAAAGCTTGTTAATGCAAGTTATGGGTGTAAAATCATCTCAGCAGACATCATTGCAGTATAAGTTGGATAACTTTCTCTTCGCCTATTGTAATACTCCATCGTCAGTAACCGGTGTGAGCCCGGCTGAGCTGTTCTTACATTGGAGACCTCAAACAAAATTGACTATGTTAAAACCTAATCTACTAGACGAATAAAGGAAGAAGCAGGAAATGCAGAAACAAGCCTCACATAGACATAGAGGGGCTTGTAGATTTTTTAATGAAAATCAGAAGGTGTTGGTTAAAACAGTCAGACAAGAAAAAATTAGTTGGGTCCCAGGTCGTATATTACAGCGTAGAAGTCTAGTTACCTATTTGGCTAGTGTTCTTGTAAAGACAAGATTCTGCCATGCTTACACCATCTTACAACATCTTAGGCTATCTGAGGTAGAGGAGGACGAAATCATTGTTCGGAAAGAGGAAGTTGGAAGGACTATGAGGCACATCAACAAGAAGCAGGTAAAAGTAGTCATACTTTCAAAAGAGTTTTGCCTAGTCTTCAGGAGTTATCGCCATAAACATCAAGAAATTATGCTCCATCTTATTTGACTAGATCGAAGTCTGATGTTGGGAAACTACCGGGTGTGCAATACTGTCCTGAGTCCATCTACAGTTTTGAGGAGATCACAAAGTACTATGCACAAGCCAGAGAAATTGGATCTATAAAGCTGGAGAAGCCATTTTAAAAGTTTTTAAGTGTTATGAGTAAAGATTTTTAAGTGTTGGCGAGTGTATGGTTTATATTAATTGTGCAAGAAGCAAAATTTAATTTTATAATGTAGGTTGCATTCCAGATATTTTTCCAACATTTTTCTTTAGACAGCATTATTTTTGACATTGGCAAAACCTGAATATAAAAAAATGTTATCCAAGGTAGAATTTGACAACGTTGATTTTTGGCAGATTGTTTCAAACATCACTCATTTTACCATCTACCTAAAGAAGGTTTAGGCGACTTATACTGTATCAAACATAAAAATACAGTTTTTTTTTTATATGTCTTTTTCTGTTTGAAAGCGTCCCAAGGTAAGTCATCGAACAACAGCCTCCAAAAACGCCTATTGAAAAGGTAGTCACATGTTTAGCAGTGCATACACAGTTCTTAGAATTAGTCCGATGGCATTTTGTCGCAAGACTTAATTTGTTGGATTTTCATCAAACAGTAAAAAGCAGTTTGTGCCAGCTTCAATTAAAATCATGCAGTAATGTATCAAACACTAATAGGTAAACTTGCCTTGTCTGAGGCAATGTGCGGTCGGCCCCGGGTTATACACAGCTACATTTCTACATTTTCTACATTTCTGGTACATTTCACCCGTGTATGACCCTGACTAAGAGTAGTCATTCTTTTCCAGTGCAACAGTGGCCAACCTGCAAGCCAAGGTTGAATCTCTAACCACAACTAATGCCCTGATGAAGGAAGACTTGGCCATTTCTAAAAACAATCTTCTGCAGCTGATGGAGGAAAATTCCAATCTCAAGGCTGAGCTTAATGAGAGCCCTCGTAGTGATCTTGTGCCTGTAGTACGTATGTTTGATTCTTGGATACAAGGGTAGGATTCTCAATATTCTCATCACTAGATAACAGAAGAAATCTGTACAAGTAAAATGTTGATATTTTTTACATTGGTTTTATGAAGAAAGAAAAAGAGATCAAAACAAAAGATTTGCTAGGGTGTCCAGCCAACCTAGAACCGGGAATTGTACGTGAATTGTGTAAAGAACTGGGAAATTAAGATGTTTGAATAGTAGCCAAAAAATCCGCCCAAAATCACCAGTTTTTCTTGTTTTGCTTAGTTGAAAATTGCGTTTACAAGAAACTATCAGGAATAACTAACATTGCCGCGATTGCAAGAAATGATCGTTGCTGTTGCCGCGATCAAGGGAAATCATCACGAATTTCACCGTGTTTGCAAGTGATCACAGATGTGGCCGCAATCACAAAAAATAGTTACTGGGGATTAAGACAATAACTAGAAATGATCATGGATTACTGTGATCGCAAGAAATTATCACAGATTTTGTCGATGAGTCTTTAATGTAGAGGTATAAAAAAGTAAGTTTTGCTTATTTTGAGTGGCATGTTTTTTTATGAAATTTTGAACAGTAATATTGTAAGCAATTTAATACATTTTGGCATTATTTAACAATTAATTAACTATTAATTATTATTAACTATTGGCATTATTAAAATCTATGCCTTTGAAAAGTAACCATACTTCAATTGACATGTTTGTTGACACTTTTAAAATTTGTCTTAAGTCCTTTTGACAACACACTGAACATTTTATCATTGAGATTCTGACAAATTAACTCAATGTTTGTTATGTAACTTTTGTGTACTTTTTCTTCAGAAAAGCAACAGCAGCAACAATGACAAAGAGATAGATAGTCTGAAGGAACAGCTGGAAAATGAACAGAAACTCAGGCTCGAAACTGAACGAGAACTACATCTGCAAGTGAGTTTATGATTTTTGTCAAAATAGATATCTTACCTATGCAAAATAACACATTAAACAATTTTGATATTCAAACATATTTTGTAGATCTTCAGTCACAAATTGTTGCATTTATTGTTTTCATGCTGTAAAAGAATTAGGTTCATGGGCTATTATATATTTTCAAAATACAGAAATTGTCATAAGATATTGATTTTTAAAATCCATTTTCAATAAATAATTTAAAGCTCAGAATTGGCATACTTTTCATTTGAATCTTTATTAATGAGATTTTCTCTCCTTGATCGAACAAAATAATATTAAAACCAAAATCTATTGAAGTATCTTTAAACACAATCCTTAAAACATATTTCCCTTAATATTTATGATTTTGAGTCGTTTGATTTCTACTAAATAAAGAAGTTGGTGATGTCCATCAAAACTGCATTTAATAGCCAAGGCAAATTAGCCCAAAAAAGAGCTGTAGCTCCTAAAAATTACGTGAAAGCTGGAAATCATTTTAATCTACTCTGGAGATCCTAAATAAGTTAAAAATAAATTGCCAATCAATGGTCATTACATATTCACAATTTCCTTTAGACAGCATTAATTTTTAACATTGGCAAAACCTGATAAACATTTTGCTCTCCAATTTTCAGTGATTATTCAGGGAATAATTTTTATATTAGCTTTTATACAGTGTTTCAAAAAGATCTTTAAGAAGACAGGTTTTCTACAAATAAGTATTTTATACATTATACCTCTATATCTATATATAAAGCCAAAAGTACCCATGAACTTTTGAGAAAACAACAAGTCACACCCCCATAAACCATATACTTAACATTTAAAATTGTAGAAAAAGGAGGATAGCAGCTAGCTTACCTTGAAAGTGTGGGTAGGCCATAGAACAAGTAGAAAAACACTGTGCTCACTTAAAATGTTCGTCATGACGAGAAAACTTGCGCAAAACTATCTTATTATTTTTTAATTTCTATAAGCATCAGAATAAAGGAGGTTCAGAAGTTCTAAGGTAAAATATGAGAAGTGCTAGTACATTTTGTTTCTATTTAATTCTGTGTTGCATTACAGTTCATTTGTCTCCTTTTACAGATTAGTCTGAAGGCAGAAATGGAAGTGGCAATGAAACTCTTGGAGAAGGACATTCATGAGAAACAGGACACAATTATATCCTTGAGGCGGCAGCTAGACGATATCAAGATTATTAACTTGGAGATGTACAAGAAACTGCAGGTAAAACCTAGCCAAGGAGATCCTTTGACTAAATATCAAAGTACTTAACACTTTTTACCATGCGGTTGGCATTCTGGGTTATAGTAGTATGTTTTCTGTGCTGAAACCCTTCCTGATCCGTGAGTATTGGATTATCAAGTTTCAACTGTACCAGTTTTTATTTATATTTATATTGTAATACCTCAATAGTTTAATGCTATTAAGAGTATGTCTATTAACAAATTTGTAGTTGGAAAATAGTTAGGCCTATTTAGATTTTTCAAATTATTTTTATATTTTATTTTTATTCTATAACATGAAAATTTTAATTGGCCAACTAAAGCTGGTTTTAGTTTAGAAAATAGTACCAGGGGACCGAGCATTGCTCGAGGTGTTTGACTTGTTCAAGAGGTTAAAAAAATAAAACCTATAAGCCTTAAAATATTTCGCCTTCAATTCAATTTCGGTAGACATTTACTCATTCTTAATTTACCTAACAAACTTTTTCATGTGGACAAGCAATCTATATTGAAAATTTCTACAATAAACTTAAAATTCAATATAAAAACTCATAATACATAACATCTGTTGACTTTTGACCGTTATTGCGTTAGTCACTGGGATCGCGGAACCGGGCAACTAATTATGGGATTGTGGAACACCGCTTCAATTCCGGTGGCGCATCGTCGAAAACTACAAAACGTGCTTGGCCTTTCTTCCAGACTTTTAGTTCAATATTATGTGTATCATATCATAATGTTTTGCTGTAAAATACAACGTTTTTGAACTGTCATTTGGGGTACATCTTATACCCCAAATGCATTATATAATCAATGCTCAATAGGATTCATAGGAATGTCCTTTTACTTTGTACTGTACTTTTACTGTACTGTAGATTATTTGTTTCAAGCATATGTTACAATTCATTTGATTACATTTTTGTAAAACTGTCATAGCTACTTGACAGTCCATAAGACTAATGTCAAAAATATTAAAATTTAACAAAAAATTAATCATTTTAACAAAAAACTAATTTTTCCAAAACTGAGCCTAGCATGAATGTTGTTTTTAGCCTTAAACTAAGATATTTCTATCAATTTGGAGGAAAATTTTCCATGTTGTATAATCTTTTTGTCTTCAAACAGTTTCATTTTCTCAATGACTTTGTGGTTTTTACTTACTACTCTTGTTTCACGTTTATGAAGTGTTCTAAAAGCTGCAGTCAAGTTGGGTTTACTCAAGGTAAAAAAGGTAACCATCAACAATAATACTAGGCCTGATGCAGAAATGAGGAAGTTTTTGCGTACCGACAAAAAAAGTACTCATAATATATAATATGGATTTTAATTGTTTTAGGATACAAAACTAACTGTTATAAGTGTATATCTAGATCTACTCGTATATTATGATATAGTTTAATCGAAAAGAGTTTAATTACCTGATCTGTCAAATTATTTGTGTTTAGCAGTGGTACACTACTAAGGTTTCAGACTTCTAAGAGTGTATCCTAAAATTTCATATGAACATCAAAAGACTGTGTTGTCAATATAGGCAGATCTATAAAAAAATTAAAATTTTAGGCATTTTATATGCACACAAGACTAATAAACATTGGACGAATAAATAAAATAGACTCGGTAATCCGGCAGATATAAGAATGTGATACTGCTGGGTTACTGGATGTCATCAATAAAACACTTAAAATGCACGAAACACGTCTTCGAAGATCGCACCATCGTAAACTGCTGTTGCCGCGATCGCGATGACAACGATGATGTTTCAGTGAGCGCAGGAGACGACGATAATGTCTGCACGACTGGAGGTGTACATGATTTTGCCGTGATCGCTGAAGACGGCAACGACGTTTCTGTGACTGTGGGAGACGGTGATAATGTCTAGAATTTCAGAATTTTGCCTTGATCGCTGAAGACCACACCTGTCAAAAGACTCCGTGATTACTGGAGTGCAGGTTTGGCGCAGTGCTGGATTACAGATGGTCTACTGTAGTGACCAGTACAAATTTTAAGACACATATAAGTGGAAGATGAGTCTTGACATTCCTTTGTTGTTCCTGTGACAGCTTAGATGGACTTTTAGAATTCTGGAACTATGGTTATTCGGTAGCTCAGTTAGTGGGACAGACTGCAAATCTAAAATGGAGAGGTTGTGTGGATTTGCATCCCAGAGCCGCCAATTATATTTATCACTAGCTGGCCCAACAGACGTCGTCCTGTCCTAATTTGGTTTTATGTCAAATGCTCGTTCATTTTCAAGATGAGCTCGTTCGCATGGCTCAATCACGTCCTGGTTGAAGTTCGTTCGCTATGCTCACTCACCTTTGGGTTGGAGCTCGTTCGTTGTGCTCACTTGCCTTCAGGTGAGCTCGTTCGCTACGCTAACTCGCATCCAGGTTGAAGTTCGTTCACTACGCTCACTCACCTTTAGGTTGGAGCTTGTTTGCTGCGCTCACTTGCCTTCAGGTGAGCTTATTCGCTACGCTAACTCGCATCCAGGTTGAAGTTCGTTCGCTACGCTCACTCACCTTTTGGTTGCAAATTAGCTGAAGTCATAAATTGAAAAAGAATAATAGTGCTGCACCCTGTTGGTAAACCTATTAACTTTTTAATGCTATTGAACATTCCAGAATCAAATTGTTTAGTTGAACCAGCTGTTAAGATTCTTTAATTCCATTTAAATATGAGTACTCATAAGGTTAACATGGGAAACTCCAGAGCCACTGGGGCGGACCCCTTTTGACGGATCTGCACCAAACTTCACACAAACCATCCTTGAATAATGCTTAATAATGCCTGAAAGTTTCATTACAATCTGTCGAGCGGTTTCGGAGTCCATAAAGGACAAACAAACAAACAAACATACATTGGATTTTATATATGTAGAAAATATAGTTTATTCTTAAACCGTATCGTCTCTAGCCTTGCTTTGTGTAATCCGTCCCACGGGTTGCTAACCACTTACATTTTTAAAACAAGTAAATTGTGGTGAACAACTTACTAAACACAGATCAATTGACAGATGAAGTAATATAAACCATTATTGAGTGATCTAGAGGTTAGTCCCCCGTGAAATGTAGTCTAAATGCTCATCTGAATTGTATTACCAGTTCCCAAAGTGTTCTTGATAGGCATGCTACTTACCCAGTTTTGTGTAAGTGTGTGTGTGTATTGTGACAGGAATGTGAGGAGGAATTGACGCAGAAAGCAGCCTTGGTGAGTCGGCTGCACGAGAAGACGTCTCAGATCGGAAACTTACTAACCAATCTGCAAAAGCAAAACGAAAAAGCCTCCTCCCCCACTGACTCGTACATCCCTAAAATACCTCCCTTCAGGGGAACACCCTCTGTCAAAACCTGTCCAAAAAACACCTTTTCCAATGGTACACTCAAGTCTAAAAACGTACCTTTGACCAGTAATTTAACGAAGGGAAAATCCTACTCTCCCCCAGATAAAAACAGTCTATTGCTCACAAGTAAAAGTATTGTCAAAGAACAGCTTTTAACCTCTGACAGCTGTTCCAGTGAGAATAATTCAGCACAAAGCGAAATCTTTAGTGAGAAGGATAAGCCTGGGACTGAATCGTTAGAAGATAAAGAATCACGCCCCTCTGGAATAAACGCTAGTGATCAATAAAATCTTTAAGGAGAAATACACGTTAAAAACCATTTCATTTTTGGACAACTTTTCAATTTACACAAATTGTTATTTTCTTGAGATTCCAACCCAAAAAATATTCTTATTTGTGTACATTGTTTCTTTATTTTGAGCATAATTAAATTTTTCTCATAGCTTTTAAAATTTAGAAATGCAACCATTTCAAAGGGTTTTGATTAATTACTGGTCGAAGGTCGAGAAATTAAATTTTTTCTTATAAACCATGACACTGTCCTTTTCACTGTCCATTTACTCGAGGTGTTTATTTTGCCAAACAGTAAACTATTGTAGATCATCTCATGAAGTATAATGAACCAGATTGTGTCAGTTAAATAAAATTGACGGATTAATGGACAAATTGTGAAAATCAAGTTATTAGGATTTCTTGTTCTCGTTAGTAACAGTTACTGCATTTGAAATAACATTCACTTGTCATAGAAATTCCTTAAGGTTTGAAAATGGACTATTGACAAACAGTGTCATTGGTTCAAACGTTTATTTGATTTTTGTTTTCAGTTTTCATGGTATTTAGCAGCTCTTTAATTTCTTTGACTTTTTTATTGCTGCTGTTTTATTTTTGTGTGTGTTAAAATGTGGTTGGAATTTTGCAGGAATGTGAAAGTTCCCTAAAGCACAAAACAGAACTGATATCAAAGTTGGAGAGTAAAAGCATTGCAATGACTGACACTTTGCAAAAAATGGAAGAAAAGTATGTACCTTAAATATACAGGCTTTGTTCCACCTAGAAATAAATATTTTACTAATTTTTTCAATGATACTAATTTTACTAGGTGAAGCAACATTGCAGTAATTCTAACAGTTAAACAATTTTCTGTGTCTGAAAGTTTCTTCTTAACTATTCTCCTAAATATAAATAGAAAGACTAAAGCTATATATCCTACAGAATTGGTGCAAATGGAAAATTCCTGTAAATAATTTTTATGGAAGGGTATACATTATGTTAGGCCAGACGCACACAGGCGATTTTGAGTCTAGCAACAGTTGCCCAACTAATTGGGGGACTGTTGCGCAACCCACTCGGAGACTCTGAAGTCTAGCGACAGTTGAGCTGGAGTGCGCACACAGGCAACTTTTTAGTCGTGAATCTAAAGTCTTAAAGACGTTAAGTTGGAGATTACATTCGTTAACAGTACCGAATGGATATCAATGATACAGCCGTAGTATGTGCTTTGTTGTTGAAGTTGTGATCTTTGTTGTGATTTTTTCCTCTTGTGAGGTTCCAATCTTCAGTAACTGCCAAGGACACTTCATCCCACAACTTCTTCTTCAAATTAATATCCGAATAGTATTTCAATGACTTTAAATATAAAGGCGGCCTCCTCAACTTCATCAATTAATTGTTTGGCATCCTCATCACGGAACACGGACACTCTTATTTAAGTAATTTTCTAAAAACTTCACACAACAAAAAGAGAGCAAACACTATATAGTGACAGTTCTGGCCACGAGTAGCTGAATTCCTGGGATGAGACTGAGCGACACAGCGACAATTTAGTTGCATGTGTGCGCATCTACACTTGTTTCAATGGATAACAAACCTGTAGCGACAGTCCCGCGACAATTGAGTCGCAGAGCAGTCGCTGGCAAATTGGGTCCGGGAACATCGGTTGCAACGGTTGCGCGACTGTCCCTAGACTGTTTCCTTGGTGTGAGCACTCCAATTTAAAACAATGGTGAACATTTTAGTCGGGCAACTGTTGCTAGACTCAAAATCGCCTGTGTGCCCCTGGCCTTCGTTTTTTTTTTTTCAGATTATACAGTTCAGATCCTTTTGTATTAGTAAACAATGAATGTTATAATCAACTGTTCTTGTAGTTGACTATTTTGAGGTTATGTTTGAGATTATGTTTATTATTATAAATAGTTTGTCGATCACTGTTAAAACTTCTTATCCTATTTTGTTAATTACTCTTAACTGAGTTTGTAGTGTTCTCATAATTCATTCGTCAATTTATTCGGTTAAATTTATCTAGGCCATTGCATATACTTATTTCGGTAATCAAGAGGTTTAAGCAAAAATCAAATTTTTATGGAAAGACTTAATATCAAAATAACGGGAGGTTTCTATGCTATCTTTTTACAACTTCTGATCCATTCTACAGTATTTGTATGTTAATGTATACACACTACTTTAAGGGCTGTGAATGTTATATGTAATCTTTATTTTCAGAAATTTTAATTTATTGGTGTTCATAATAATAATAGCAGTGGGTTTACTTTGAAGTATAATGTACAAAATTATGAAGTATTAATCTTTATTGAAGATATTAAATTTCCCAACTAACTTAAGTTAATTCAGTTTTTTTTACTAATATAGTTTGAGTTTTGTTGATTATATTATATCATTATTAATTATTATATTGAATGAAAGAGGTCACTAATCGTAGCCTTTAGCCTTTATAGATGTAGTTAAGTTTATTTGATTTGTGATAAATATTTTTTCTTAGTTTGATCTTTAGAGTAAGTTTCTTTACAAAAAAATGAAAATATATATTTCTGTAAAACTAGTATTCTATAAAAGTTGCTTTTTCTTATTTATCTACACGAGGTGAATCAAATGTGCATTTTTTAAAACTTAATTAACAGAATGTGCCTTGTATTTTGAAAATCATTTATTTTCTTTATTCAATGAAATAATAATGGATATAACTTTTAAACTTATAAATTATTGTATATTATCAAGTTAGTTTCTCAAAGAGTTTTGGCAGTTCTTTTTTTGCAAAGCACACACTTAAATTATGCGGCGGAAGTTAGTGGAATGGTGGATTCTTTGTTAATGCCTCAAATCAACCTACTTTTTGCCTATACTGCACGTGTGTGTCTTCCAAAAAAATTGTTGTGTCCATAAGACAAAAAAAAATGTGATGAAAATCAACATGAATAAATTAATGAGTAATGACGGGGGCTTAGAGTTCATTGATGAAATTCCAACTTCCTTTTAAATTTTAAATCTCTAAATAGCCACTAGACTAGATTCAACATGTTTTGATACACCTCGTGGTAGGTCTTCTGTAGTCTGTGGTAGCGTAGGGCAGAGGTCGATGGCAAACTTTCACCACAGGCAGCCTGGTAACAGACTGATATTGTAACTGATAAGCTTTGTAACATGTCTACAATAAAATATGCTTCAACACTTCCAATGTGTAATCATTTCTTGTATCCATCTTTCGTTTTCATCCTTTCTACCAATTTTATTTTGGCTGCACCTGTAGTTTAATTTTGCCATTTCCCTCTCTTTATTTTGCCCTTCTTGTTTTGTGTGTGATTGTGTTTGGCTGATTACCAATAAATAGGGATGCTAATGTGTATTTCATCCCAAGTATGTTAGGATGAGATTAGAATAGAGCGAGATGCCTTGTGTAACTTTGTTACTCACTGAGGCCATAATTTCTTTTTAACCAGGACCATTTAATAAAAGTCTAATGATCAATTGCAATTACTTAAATTTATAACCAAGAAATATATTTGGCTTATGTGAGGATTTTTTTAGTAAAGTTTGGACATATTTTATATCAAAACTTGTTGATAATCATATATATTTTCACTCTTCTCTAAACCAACAATTTCTCTGTTAAAACCTGCTTTAAACAGAAACGTAAAGAATTAACAAGATTTTTTTTACTAGTGTCAAATCATATATACTAAAACGTGACAGGGTTTTTATTTCCACGATCTGTATCGACCAATTGACGGATTTCCATGATTTTTGTGTCGAAAGAAAGATAATTTTGTTAACTAGGGAATGTCGAAGCCATAATTTTAGTTTAGGGTTTCACTTTTTTAGAAATTAAGTTTTAATTTTTAAAAAGTCTAGGAGCCAACACTAGAAATTTAAAGTCGTTCCAGTGCTAGTTAAACTAACAGCTGGTTTCTAATTGTCTGAGACTAAAAGTGATGAGGCTGGGACTGACTTACGGTGCTGCAGCTGTGTAAAATCAAATCACTTGAGACTAATAGCGAGGTGGCTAAGTGTAATTACTGTTACCTGGTAGATAAAAGCATCAAACTTTGTACGAAGGTACTTTATGGTATAGCAAAAACTTTTAGCCTAGGAGCCCTTTTGAAATTTTGAAAATTTCCATACACGACACCAAAATCAAAAATGGCCAACAAATATGACAAAATATTACCTTGAAAACAATACATTCCACTGTTAACTCTAAATAATTACAGCTTTAATCCAACCAAGACTACCAAACAAACCGAAGATATACTACATTATACTAGGGGCCCACAGCAGCAATTGCTGCCTTTCACCTCCGTTGTAATTTGGCCTTAACCATTCCCTATGCTGTGCACCATTCATAAAAAAACTCCTTCGTAGTTGTGGTCTTCCCCTAACACGATATTTATGCATTTCAACACTGCATTACCATTCTAACCTAAAAACAGAACACTAAAATCAATAAACATACAAATATGCAATGTTTACATCAGCTGCTATATTTCAAACAGCTTATAGAAACACTGTAGCAGTACTTCCATTAGAAAATGGTTGGATCTTTGACGACCTGTGGGACAGAGCAGGTGTAATTTTTGACACTTCTGATATTTTCCCACTGTCGTTGGACCTTAAGCTTTAAAACAGGTGCAACAGGTGCACTAGTTTATTCTTAATAGAGATATTTCCCATAATCCTGTCTGATTCACCAAACTGCAGTAGTAAAAGGAAACTTTTAATTACCATAGGACAAATAATAAACAAGACTAGTGTCTTACCATAAACATTTGCTGCAACAGGGGACGAATCAAGAACTCAAATCCTTACACCCATCGATATAGTGTTAATCATTAGATCCTGTGGATGACTATGTGGTTTAAAGTCTTCCCAGCCAGGGATAGAGGGGTTTGCATCCTGTCTTGGTTGTCAGTTCTGGTCAACTCACAAGATCACCAGAAGTGGAGGTTGGGGTCTTCCCTTCCCAACTTTGATAACGTTTTAGCCGTTATTAGCACCCCTCGACTCTGTCTAACATCTTTAGGCTCTTGGTAAAGCCTAACAGCTGTTGGAGACCCATTTTTCTTATTTAATTTGGCCTCATAGTTGCCTTTCCAAGGTATTTCAATAATCTCTAAGCTAGAGCTGGGCAAGCCACAAATGTTTGATTCTACATCTGTTGCACAGAATCTGCATTGGTTTGTTTGGCTGAGCCTTATGGTTTTAAACAGGACCATAACTAAATAAGCAGAAACATACCCTAAAACTGTCTTCAGCTGATTCATAGAGATGATAAATCTTTAAAAAGAGCATGTTCAATCTATGAAATCACACAACCAACAAAGCATTAAATTTAGTTTTGCAAGTGTTCTCAAACATTTGTAGATTGCGTGCATGGCTGTGAGCTTGTGTTAAGGTGTGTGTGTGATGTGGCCGACAGACAAGCTGAGCTGGCTCGGTTGCGCAGTTCTGCTGAGGAGGCATTACGTCGAGCAGGAGAGGAGAACATGGTGGCCGAGGAGCGGAGGGGGGAGTTGGAGGGAGAACTGCGGGTAGAGAGGGAGTGGCGACAATCCTTAGCCAAGGATCAAGACAAGATGTCTTCTCTGCAGCAGGAAATAGCCCAACTGAAGGCAGTGGCAGCTGTGAGTATTCAACAATATCTCGTTTGATCCTTGTACAAAGATGTGAGAATTTCATTTCTCTTTTGTGCTGACTCCTTATTTAACATAGACTCACTTTTGACCAGTCACGTTTAGACCGAGACTGTGAAGAATAAATAACTATTTAGCCAGTAAAACTTAGGTGCCCTTGTTAAATTAATGTTTTCTTAAACTAAATATTTTCCCATGCATTTCATTGGATGTATTTTGTGACCTTGATTTGAAATCAAGCAGTTCATTAGATAAAGACTCCTCTCGACTATAAAACCTCTTTCAGAAATATGTAGAGTTGCAAGAGGAGCACTATCGCCTGGCAGAGCAGTGCAGGGAGCAAGAGATGACCCTAGAGGAACTAGGAACACAGCTGAGTCAAAGCAAACTGCAGGTCTCAGAACTAAGAGAGGAGGCCTGTGCTACCAGGAGTGTGGCAGACGCCAGCTGGACCTCTGACAAGGAGGTCACCCACTGTAGAGCGTGCAGCAAGGAGTTCAACCTTACCAGGAGAAAGGTGAGTCTAGAATAGAGAAGGTCAGAGCTCTGACATGTAGAGTAGGATCAAAACAAATAAACCCATTGAAAACCAACAGTGAAACATATAGTTTTTCTATGCGTTATTGAAGCGTAAAAAAACACATAATTCTTTTTTGCTAAAACATAAGATTTCTCTGCAATAGTATGGCTAGAAATTCTTTTAAAATAATATGATAGACAGTTGCAAATTTTGCAAGTTAAGGTCTGAAGCAGTGCCAGAGTACTGAAAATGAGGGATTAGGCCTACTGTGCACAGTCTAAAATTATCATTATTACAAGGACAGTGGCAATTCCACTAAAATAAGTAAAATAGGCTGTTACTAGATTTTAGGCCATTTCCTATAATGATTATTCAATACACCTTTACTTAGCTAATTAAATGGGTTGTCAGCAAGAGTACATAAATGATTTATTTAATGAAAAATAAGATTAATTAGGGACTATTGAATAAGCAGGGTTTTTGGATGTCGAATGAACAGGGGTTGATTTTTAAGGTTTATTTATTTATAAGGTGCTATCACAGCTTTTAGTCAGTTTTATTTTGGGAAAAAATGTCATCATCAAAATGTTATTTTCTTCATAAAATATGTGTAATTATGACAGGGTGGTAGTAGTGTTAACTTGTCCAGTTTATAGTATTGACGAGTTACAAGCAACACAAACTTGGTTTCAGCACCACTGTAGGCACTGTGGGAACATTTTCTGTAACAGTTGTTCAGACAACTCAATGCCACTTCCGTCATCTGCCAAGCCAGTTAGAGTCTGTGACGAATGTTATGTCCTACTTGTAGCTCGTAACTCTGTCATCCACTAGCCCCCACCATTTACCCCCATCCAACCACCTTCCCCCTCCCTACACATCTTAGCCCCGTCCACCATCTTCGTTGCTTGTGATATTTGCTCAATCATTGTCAAGAGCTTTGGTCGTTATTTAATTATAGAGATTTATTGGCTTCATGGCAGTGGTTTGTGACAAAAACATCTAAGCCACAAATAATGCTAAATTGGAAATAACCATCCTATAACTCTTTACCTGTCCAATGGTAAAATACCCTGCCTGCAGACTAAGTAAATTTCCATTTGCCTGGTTGGATTTTCACTAAAATTTGTCCTTAAAATTGTCAGATTTATTCCCTATTTAAATCAAATTATTGCGTAACTTACAGTACTTGAGTTTACCTACTACAGGGAAGGTAACATAGCGTTTTTGTTATTGAAATGTGTCATGAGACCTACGGTAATAGCTTGTTCTCTATACGAGAAATTCGCTAAAAGACCTTCAATAAAAATATTTTTTTTGAAATTGGTGTTTCTCTCAATGTTTTTTTGTGTTGTTTTTTTTATTTTACTAAAATTGTGATTAAATATGTCTGCATTAAATATGTCTGCAATAATGTTTTAAGCTATATTCTACTCCAAATGTAGAGAGTTGAAAGTTAAGAAAGTTGAAAAAAAAACAAGATAAGAGTTGCAAACTATGACTACAATTAAGTTAGGTGGAAAATACTGCCATGAAGACCATGACATAAAAATAGAATATAGTATAATGCATATAAATGTTATATTTTTATTAAAGTAATTTAGTTATGTACACAATTTTAAATATCTATTTTGTGTTTCCATTCCACATTCTATTACCTTTTACTTTATTATTTTTGCACACAGAAATGTATAAATAGGTAATTGCTAATTTGTTATTTCCAGTCTTTTGTTGAAGATTAAAAGCAGTTTGTGTATTCTACCACGTTGTTGGTATTTTTTAAGTTTATTTTTTTTAATGGAACGGTCCAAACCCGGGTCTGGCTACTACCTATTATATATTTCTGAGATGCTATTAGATATACCATTGACTGGATATACCCATATGAAATTTAAAACAATTTTGAAAAAAAATGTTCTGTGCCCTAATAAAGATAAGAAGACCTGTTAAAAGGAAAGGCCAGGAATAGTTTATTTTAATGTTTTATTCATAGGATTGAGCACTATTAAAGTTAAATTAATTTGTGGTATTATAATTAGTAATTTTGTGTTACACATTCAACCTTTCTATTATTTTTAATTATTTCTAAATATTGTATTCAAGAGGGATCTACTGTTATGAAGTAGTATCCATATATAAATCCCAAAGTACCCATGAACTTTTGAGAAAACTACAAGTCACACCCCCATAAACCATAAAATACTTAAAATGTTCTTCATGATGAGAAACCTGGTGCAAAACTATCCATTATTTCATAAATTGCCCTTTAAGGTCGAAATTCCCTTCTAAATGGAAGTTTCCATATATCTAATGTTAAAAATACCTTAGCTGTACGTTATTCTTTCAATTTATTACCTTATTAAAATCAGGTGTGATTATTTGTTTGTATTACTGTATTCTGTTTTGTTTATTTCAGCTTAACTTAACCAATCAATAGATTTATATAATACTTATGAAGTCAAATGGGGTGAAGCCCATGGGTAACAGCTAATTTAGATAGCTTCAATTGTTAAATGTATTTGTGTTTGTCACAATATTTGTGTAAAATGTTGATACAACTTTTGTGATATGGGAATTTTTTCCTTTTCATTCTGCACCGGATGCTCAGTTAGGATAATGTTTTACAAGATCTGAGTTGAGGCGGTTTTCCACTATTTGCCATCAACTAACGTGTGTTTAAGAATTGAAATTTTGGTTGTAATTTTGAGCTATCCAAATGCTGTGTCAAGGATGGTGTTGTTATCAACTAACTATTATCATAGACAAAAAAAATTAAATATAGACCGTCAGCTGTGCTGCGGTTACCATAGGTTCTGGCGCACACCACTGGGAGCACCATGTAGTTACGCCATACGCACTACGTAACTACACGGCGCTCCAAGCGGTGTGCGCCAGAACCTATGGTAACCGCAGCACGGCTGACAGTCTATATTTAATTCTATTTGTCTATGCTGTTATTCAACATTTTTTTTTGTGATCACAACCATTACATTTAACAGCTGTTTGATATGCTAAATCACTTCAAGAATTGATTAATAAATATTCCCTCAATACTACTGTATAGACTATATTATTTGGTAACGATTGTTGTGACTTTACTTTAGCAGTAATAATTTAGTACAAACTTTTATGTAAAATGAGTTGTTATTGCTATTATTTACTATTTTATGTGTTTAGTAGATTATTGATTATTTGTAAGTCTATTGTTTATGATTTTTTGTTTAGACTTTTTTTATTGAATAATCTTAAAGCAAATAAATCTTCAAAATGTGTGGTATAAAAAGTTAAAGACTCTTAAAAAGTCACAAGTGATATAAACACTGGTAGACTTTCCCAATTTGCCACAGTAACTCATGATTGTCAACTAAGATTGATCCTAGCGTTTGAAATTTAAATAAAAGATTAATTCAAAGCAAGTAAAGAACTTTTGTGCCAGTTTGTAAATAACTAGATTATTTGTTAATATAGAGAAAGTGCTCTTCATTGTATTTTTCATTCCTGGCATTTATGTTTGATTTTAAAATGTTTACCTCGATAAAATCTGTTTTGTAATATTTTTGTACGAAATATTAAGTCTTGTTACTCTAGAATATTTATTTAGGATAATTATTCAATAAAATACTTTTTGAAATTTAATCTAAAAGTCATTTTATTTTAAATTTTAGTTTTTTTACAATATGGTCCTCAGTGGGGTAACTAATATTTTTCATTTTAGCAAAGGACACTGAAGAATTCACATCCATAACCTCTTCTAACACAAGGCTGCTGCAAACAACTTGCCAACCCCGCACTCACTGGCCTGGTGCCAAAGTAATAACAAGCGTGTAAACATATAATTGCACAGACGCTCCATATGAATTAGTTCACAACATTTTGGCAGTTTGAGTGGAAGCAAATCCATCACCTCCACTTTACCCTAACTATGAAACAACAGCCGACCGTTGATCAGCTGATATATACATTAAGCTAAAAAAAGTGGTGGGAGAACCCAGGAAATCTTCTTAAACTGCCTAAATTTTGTGAACGGAATAAACAACTGTTTTGGTTGGGAGGGACTGCAGTGTTGCCTCTTTTGTTTCGCTGTGGCCTTGTTTTGGAGAAGGCAATGACACATAATAAGTGATACAGAATTAAGTGTTTAAAAGTGAAGGCACAGCTATAGGCACTAGAAGATAACATATTCACTATTCAGCTGACCATCACCTCTTGACTAGATAAACTGCAATTCCATTTCTCTTTATTTTTTTATGAACAATTAATTACGCCCTCACTTGTGGCTTATTTATTGTCTGCCGAGTTCAAATCCACATTTAGGCCCAATTTCTCCAAACACTAAAACCTCCGTTAAACCTTGCAGTTACACCGTAAGAGACAAAATTGGATTTCATCACTAGCGGTTAGAGCTAGTTTAGACCATCGATGTATATAGCCTAACTGGATCGCGCTCGGCTGGTAAACGAAAACGGTCCGCCGCCGCCGCCGCGCCGCTCCCCCCACCACAAGTGGGCAACCGCAGTGGGCCATAGAATTGAAGTAGCATTGTGACCACCGACACATCGCACTTTTTTACTTCCTTATTGTCACCAAAATGTTTAAATGAATTTCTCTTTTCGTGTATGGTATTGTATGTAATTTTTTCTCATAGGTACATTATCTAAACTATAACATAAGGACCCGGAACACATATTTAAAATTGAACTTTCTTGTTGGTAGTCTTGGATTTATAACACAGTTTTGATGGTATGTATATGCATCGATATGGATTATTTTATTCAGTCAGTTGGGTTATATAGTACATCAGTTGACGTCAAATTATATTATATAACATTAATTGTTCACTCTCACAGTATTGAGAAAAACTTCAGTAGGCCTACCGGTATTGAATTCCCAAGTGTAGAATAATCAAAGGAAATAAAACTTAACTTTTGTAGTTCTGATTTAACTTTAATTAAATCTAACCAACAAAACAACTTTTACAAATAGAAATCATTTGCTAGACAACAATCATACATTTGAAAGATTTTCAATAATTTGCTAGACGTGGCTAAACTAAATAAGTTTATTTAGTTTCTGCCGAACGCTGAGGTTTGAAACATTACTTTTTAAGGTTTTTTCTTTTGACACTTTATGACAATATACTTTAGAAAACAACATGCTTATCATTTTAATGAGCATTAGGTCATGATTTTCTTCACCAAGATCTCCGTTTGATCTGTGGCCTCGGAATACATTGCCAGCAAACATCCTTGATGCCAAAGCACATATATTATACATTTGGGTTGTTATTATTTCCTCCTCTAGCTCGTATACATGAAAATAACAACTCCAGGTGATCCTGAGAAAATTTATAAGTTAGTATGTAATTAAATTTGAGATCAGTTAGTAGTTTATCAATCAAAATGCGAATTGTGTTGATGTTAGTAATGAAACCGAGAGCAAATGTCTTTCTAGGGTGTTCCAAGATGGGGACGTTTTTAATTTTTAAACAGTTTAAACTTTTGTCTAAGATCATATTAATGCACATAAGGTTTTCTTTCTTTATGGGGGATTTGAAATTCTTCCCAAACGGATCTCTACTGTTGAAAATGTCAAATAATTGGTCAATTATTCGAATAAAATCGATGGTTGGTTTACAACCTACAAAATTGGGATGTTCCTTCATTAACAAAAATTCTAAAGCGTCAGCAACGCCAGAGCTCAACGTTTGAGCTGCTATTTTTATGTTCATTTTCCTGTTTTTGTAACATATATGCTTGTCAGACAACTTGTTAGCCAATGCTAATCCTTCATCTTTTTGCAAAGAATTAAGATTTTGTATATACTTTTAACTAACTGCGACACACCTCTGCGGCATGATGTAGAACTTTCATTAGACATAACAAAAAATACCACCTCTAACATCACGAGTACGACAGTGATTACATGGGATGTAAACAGTGCACACATGCAGAAGTCAACGCACGAGACAGTCGCCGGCGCCACGTGGTTGCCCACCAGTGGGGGGGGGAGCCCACTGTGCGCCGGCTCGTTTTCAGCGCTGTACTCTCGTGGCAGGGCGCGTAGATAATTAACTGCCCGATTTTGACTGGTTAACTTGTGTAATCTTTCGTTGTAAATATCAGCTGGCTTTAAGTTTTAACACATTGAAGCCTATGGGCGCTAACAGGGCTTATATGCATAACAGGGACGTAGCTAGAGTATATGGCGCCCTTGGCGAATAGTACAGGGCCCGCAAGGGGGATCTGGGGGGCCAGCCCCCTAGCAAAAGGGGGTACTGGGGGGCCAGCCCCCTAGCAAAAGGGGGTACCGGGGTTCCCCCGGAAGTTTTTTGCAATTTTAGGTGTGAAATAGTAAGTTTTGCGTGTTTTAATAAAGCATAATATTTAATACACTAATAATAATATATAACATAATAATACTAGGCCTCTTAATTTTTTTTATTTTAATTTTAAAATTAAAAAAATGAAATATTGATGCTTGATATATACTCGGGCTTCGTTCACAATGGCATTGGGGGCACCTCGACCTATACTTGGGCATAGGGTTCAATGTGTCAAATTAATATGGAAAGGTCAAATGCTAGAAGAAGAGCATACAAATTAGCTTTTGTAGTAATAGTGATAAAGAGTATGCTGTTCAACGACTTAGGTGGATAAGAGAAAGGGTTGATGATTTCAATAATTTGGACAAAATTAATTTTATTACTAGATGAATATAGATATCACAACGTTTTGCGTTTTTTTTTTTTTTTTTGGATATCGCACAAGGTTTTTGGTGATGGCGTATCTCTAGGTATGTGATCAGTGATCACATTGAACTGATTGGCGATCAAGAGCCACTCACTATTTTTAGCCTCCTGATCGCATTTAAATACTTTCAATTGGTACGTGCATGCATGTGATCCTGTGTGTTGTTAAATTGCAACCGCTTTCAACTCACATAGGAGTCATCAGGCTAGTAAAATAGTCTTTTCGCTTCATTCTAAGTCTAGACACAACTTCTGCCCGATCACGTTGTGTCCAAAGATTCTGAATACACAAAGCTATATACAACTATTTGATATTCATGGGATGAGAGAAGCTTTCTCAACTAAAATGTTTACAAACTTGTCAAAGATGCATTTTCATACCTAATGAATTTTCTGAGGAACATCAAGTTTGTGTTTAATACAAGAAATCTTTGTTGTATACGAGTCCTTTTGGGAGGGATGTAGGTACTGCGGGAATTTTTTTCTTGACGAATCCAGTTAGAATCAGCTTTACAGACCAGAACAGCAGCTCTACCACACTTAGCAGACTAATACCAAGGAACAGACCTGCAGTACCACCAATACCAACTACAAACAAACATCACTATGTTATTACAATAAACATTAATACTACAGTATATCCAAATAATTATTTAAGTTTTATGTTCAGTAGTGAAGAGGTTATTTGACACTATATCTAACGATTTAAGAAGTTATGAATACATATGCAAAGCTTGGTATTTTTTTTTTATTTTATAGGAATTGCGTGGCAAGCTTGCTTTATAAAAAAAGAACAGTTTTGACTGGATGGGTAGATTCTTTGTGACTTACGCCTCGAATCAGACATTTTGCTACTTTTTACCTATGCTTACTATATCCCCCAAAAATATGTTTTATAATTATTAAATTTTTGTGTCCATAAGACAAGTTGAGTGACCTATTTCCTTTAATCCCGAGGGGGCGAAGAGCAGCAACAAATTCACTCCATACCATTTTTATCCATCTGCTTTACTTCTCCTTACTTCTTGCCTTCTTGCGATTCTATCTCAACTGATATCCTCCACATGATTTTTGGTCATTGCCTTTTACTACTTCCTTGAGGGTTCCAGTCTAGAGCTTCCTACTAATATTGTTGTGACCCTTCCTTGAGGTGTAACATATCCACTCACACTTCCCTCTTTGAATAAGATTTCGACAGGGTCCATCTGGGCTCTCCTCTAGTTTTTGTTTCTAACTGCATACGGCCATTGGATGTTGGAAGTTTGTCGGAGACATCTATTAATCAACTTTGAGGACATTATTTCCAAATATTCTTATTTTGGTGCTTCTTATTATCTGGTTTAACACAATGACTGCTGAAAACAACGTACAGGCGCTCCCCAGTGGCGGGCAAAGCCCCGGCACGCAACCGAATCAGCGAACGCAATTGGCCTTCAAATATTTCAGTCTGACGAATCACAAAAGAGCAGTGGTGACTGTGCTGCGTTACCCCGAGAGTGGATGTAGTTCACTGAAACACCCAAAGGTAGCAGCACTGCACGGATCCGTATCCAGTGTCTTTGTAATGTGGGTTGAAGAGAAAAAATCCCCGAAACCGGGACAAAAGCATTGCCAGACAGGATTTTACGGGAAATTTTAGTACCAACCTACACCAAAGTAAAGCTCGCATTCTAAGCTGGCAGGCTGGCAACAATTATAACGTCTCCGTCTGAGGCTAAGCTCACACTGACTCAATATATTTCTGTTGGTCTGGTGCCGACTTTTGTCGGCGCGCGCCACATTGAAGTGCTAGCGACGCCGACTATAGTCGTTAACAATCAACGTGTTAATTGCCAGTTTTGAGTGAGCTAGGCAAAATCCCTTTGCTCTCCTAATCATCTTTTTTTTTGTCTATGTCTTCATCTGCCCCACCTGTTGTTGAAACAATGCTTCCGAGATATACTAACTCTTAGACATTTTATATGGCTTTCTCGTTTATCATTAGATGGTCATTATTTATTGAGTTTATTCTTATTTCTTTAGTTTGTCCAGGTTTATCTTTAGGCAAACTCTTCCCTTCTTCATCTAATTCCTTAAGTTTGTCTTCCATATCTGTTTTCCTGTGACTGCAGGGGCGGATCCAGGATTTCATTTTGGGGGGGCACTGGGGGGTCCGGGTGTTTTTACCTGGACAACTGTAAAAATTGTGTGATTAAAATCATTACTTTAGCTCTCCATGATTTTATATACTTTAATACAGCCGTTATAAAATTGACAAAAATAGTGATAATAAGAAACAAGACTTTTAAAATTATAAGAACTAACTTTTTTACTAACAATTTATTGAAAATTAGCTGATCTGACACAGTAAGTGCAGTATATGGATGGAAAAGAAACAATAAAAACATATGAGTAACTGTATCAAATTTTTGAATATGTTACATTATATATTTGTGACATAACGTTTTATAAAGTTTATTAAAAAGGGATCAACGGGGTCATAATTAATTACCGCTTTGCATGGCTTCTGGGAGGATCTGCCCCTGCCTGTGAGTCATGATACTTAAATCGTCAGCAAAGTCAATGTCTTCCAGTCTCTCCACATAAACCCATTGTATGCATCTAGGCATTCCTATCCCTTTCCTCATTACCCCATCCAATACAATGATGGAGATGATGGGTTAAAATAAGCGGCCCACCAACCTGACCAACAACCTGGTGGTGGGACCAAGAACATCAGAACATGGGGCGAATGGGGATTACAAAAGAAGATGTGTAATATATAAAGGAGTTGTATCACTGTGACCAAGCACTGCCTAGTCAATGACCAAGACAGTATGCAAACTTAAGTGAAAAAACATAATTAAAGAATGAAAAACACTTTAAAAGATGTCAAATGGTGATAAATTTCTAGTGTAAACTTATAGCATCGTCAGACCTAATGCATTTAACAATAGAATAGCACTCGCCTAAGAGATCTATCCAGCCGAAGGTGACATCTCGTTGATAATACACAGCTCCTCCGTACTTGTAGTAGAGATCGAGGTAGCCGTAGTTCTCCAGCGCTCTCTGTTGTGTGTCAGTGGTCAGGTCAGTGTCGTCGTCGTAGTAACTCTCATGACATGTCGGCAGACATCGTGAGCAGTTCAGTGGACTGACGGTCTCAGTAGCTGCAAACCCTCTCATGTTGGTGTTGTTTGGTGGTCTGTAGAACTTGAGATTGGCTAGAGAATTAACAAAGGCCTAATTGCCATCCATACACGCTTACGTTAAGAGTATTAAATAAATAGTCACTTTCATTATTGTGTTACCCTAAACAAACTGCTGTAGTTAAATAAAAGGATTTAAAAAAAGAAAAACAGTAGAGTTCAGCAAGGGTATCTGAGAAAATTAGAATCTAGAGTCTAATAGATAAACACAATAAAAGAGCACAAAACAAAACACTGATATTTTATCCTGATTTAGGATTTCGTCAGAGAGTAGTTTGATGAAAATGTAATACGAAAAATGTATTTCTCTTCAACCTACTCATTGAAAAAGACATCACAGAAATATCAGTGTTGTGGTTTGTTTATTCCTGTGGTGTGAGCTGGTCAGGACCGTTTCTGGTCAAAACTCAATCTAATCTACAGACATTTTAGCTATTCTCAAATATATAAATGAAGATAGGAACAAAAACATTTTTCTTCTGTTCCCTTCACATCCGATTCCTAGGACTCTATTCTCTAGCCGGGAACTGTTTTACACATTGCTTCAGATTAGACCAAGGGGTTTGTCCAGTTTTTGGCCTTATCACTGAGATAAAATCCATTGACGCTTGGCAACATTTAAATCTGGGATCTTAAGGACCCAAGCCCTGCGCTCTATCAAAAGACCAGTTCCGCCTCGACAAAAACATTAAAGACAACAGGTAATACTAATGAAAAGAAGTAAAGTGTAATTCTTAGCTAACTCCAAGAGTTCTTACTTGGATATACTAAATGGCTGTGTTTTAAGATGCTCAAGAAGGCCATTATTGAATACTTGTCTGAAATAAGAGAATCTTCTGCTGCATTGCTCAAACCTCACCCTATGGAAGTAAAGCTTTAGGTCACAAGTAGATTGTGGTGAGACGTAATCACGGTTCCGCAGCCTCTCATTTAGCATTCACTTTTCCTTCAAATATCTCCCATACCAACCATGACAACAGTGTCATGCAATGGAGACCTGAGGTCACATTGATTTAACAAAATACCCCCGCCGCAGCAAATCTGCCGACTAAGCGAATTTCCATTTGTCTGAATTGATTTTCAATTAAATATATTTAAATAACACTAATGAGTACCTAGGTTTGCTGCTACAAGAAACTAATAATGTGTGTTTTTAGTAAAATATTGATAGCTTAGTACAAAATAAATAAATTTGCCAAGTTTGATCAAAATATGTCCATAAACAAGCAAACTACAACATTTGACAATATTCTCCATAAGAATAACATGGGAATTTTAAATTTAAAATTTTTTTAATTTTCTCCGTTACCAATAACCAAACAAAAATACTTTTATATACTAAATTATTTGTTTTTTAAGCTCTTTAAAAAGGTCTAAAGAGAAATTGGGAAATTTTATGTTTTGAGGGTCAAAAGTGAGAAAAACAAATTTTTACCCCATAAAGCCCCGTTCCCATAGTCCGATCATGCTGGTTCGCGAACTCTTTCAAGTTTACAGTATCCCGCTTTACACCTTTAAACCAAATTTCATCAAAATCGGACAAAAATTACTCAAGTTATCGCGTTCACAGACGTATATATATATTTATATACATATATAAAATTTTGAACGAATGGTGTTTTTGGCCTCTAGGGACATCAAAATGAAAAAGTAAATCGGTCCTGGGTCTAGGTCTTACTGTGCCACCTACGGTAATAGCTACTTCCCTATAGGAAAATTTGCTAAAACAACCTAAAGGTTGCATTTTGATGTTTTTTAACTTCTTGAGCATAATGATTGTGATTCAAGAACTGCACAAAATTATTTTAAGGTCAGTTTTTTGTACTGTTATTCAAAGTGTCTGTTGGCATAAGACTGTTCGCGCCAAAACAGCAAGTGTCGTCCCCACCCTTGGGCTTCGGGGGTGTGAGTGACACAGGCCAGTAAGGCACCAACGTTCGGTCGTGTCGGATGTCATTTTCAAGTATTTCAATTTCATTCATTAACATATCGCATTAAGTTTACATTACAAGTTTCAAGTTACATATTTTCATTTATTCATCATCATTTATACAGTTTTAGCATTTTCATCATATTTTCAATAAACAGTGTTTTACTCCATGTGCAGTCTTATATTTCAGCTCCATCAAACCAATTTCATTACATTACATAATTCATTACATTCAGTGCGTCTGCGTACATCGCGGTGCGTACATATTTTGGTCCTTCGACATTGGATTACGCGAAAAGTGGATTACAGTGTACAATTCATCTATAGCGAAGATTCATCAGTTACAAGTTTTCGAGCTGAAATTGGACACATCGACGTGGAGAGACGAGGAGAAAGCTGCCAGTTTACTGCCTGTCAATCAACCCCCTCAAGGACAACAGGACAACGCCTTCGCCCTGCATCAACCCTGGACGGAGCCGAGCGAGACCGACTGCAGCCGACACCACCCGAGCGAACTCGTCATTCACCAACCCCTGCCGTCTCGAGCGCAGCCGACGGGACCCGAGCCACGACAGCTGAAGAGGGTGAGTGACCGAGGTGTCAAAACATAACCTCCCTGTCAAAGTCTTCCTCCATGTATTACCTGTCAAACTCCTACCGTTTATGTACTTCCAAAACAATCCTTGTCTTAACCTAACCTTCAAGCCTCTCACGCATTCAACCATACAGTATTCAACATATTCAGAATATGGAAGCAGAACTAAAGGTATTAACCAACAAGAGAGGTCAGATTAAGGGTAAATTAACACGGTTCATCACATTCTTTCAAAATCCAGCAAATAAACAAAACTTAGCAGAAATTGAAGTAAGATATGATAAACTAAACAACCTCCTTAGTGAATTTGAAACAGTGCAGGAACAAATAGAAATTATAGACGACACGTCAGATCACTCAGCCGAAAGAGATGAGTTTGAAACTCAGTATTTTGACGTCATATCCAAAGTAAAACAACACCTACAACAGAACAATAGTAACACCGCTCCACAACAATCAATTTCACCAACATCTATCAACAATCAAATTCCAGTCAAGCTCCCAACAATAAACCTCCCGACATTTTCCGGAAAGTATGAAGAATGGATGTCCTTCTATGACACATTTTCAGCGTTAATTGACAACAATGACGCCCTAACCGATGTACAACGTCTGCACTACCTCAAGGCTTCCTTGACAGGTGATGCAGCCAAAACATTAGACAATGTAGATCTGACTGCACACAATTATGCAATAGCATTATCGTTACTCAAGCATCAATGCCAAACCGAGAAAATTATCGTGCAAAATCACGTAAAATTGATCTTAAACCTTCCTCAAATTCACAAGGACGCACCTCAACAACTCAAGCAAATTCTCAATAGTCCACACACTCATCTTCGGGCACTGAAATGCTTAAATCAACCAACAGAACATTGGGACACTTTGCTCATACACATAATCATCCCCAAACTCGACACTTCAATACAACGCGAATGGGAGCTATCAACTGAGCCCAGAGAGCACCCAACACTTAAGCAGTTGACCGACTTTCTGGAGAAGAGGTGTCAAATCCTTGAGAACATCTCTTCCAACAAAACACAGATTACACAGAAACCTCCAAATCATACAATAAGGCAAACTCAACCATATCAATTCAAGGCCCATGTAATACAGAATCAAAATTGCAAACTTTGCAATGGTAACCATGCAATCTACCATTGTAATGATCTAATAAACTCTTCACATGATGACAAACTCAAGTTATTGTCGAATTCAAGAATCTGTCACAATTGTTTGAATCAGGGCCACCGTGTTGAACAATGCAGATCTTCAGGGTGTAAGAAGTGTGGTCACAAGCATAACACTTTGCTACATGTAGAAGACCTACAATCTAACAGAACATATCCTACGGTAGAACTTAAGACGCATTTCACTAAGTCTCTAGGCACCTGTACAACATCATCCACAGATAACAACTCGGAGGTTTTGCTGTCGACAGCCCTTATCAAAATCATCAGCCCTCACGGGACCCAGTTGACATGTAGAGCACTTCTTGACAGTGGCAGTCAGTCAAACTTCATCAGTGAGTCAGTCAGCCAAACTCTACAATTACGAAAACACAAATCATCACTTATTGTCACCGGCATACACAAAGGTAATACTCATGTATCATCGACGGTCACCGCAACTGTGAGTTCATTGGCAACCAATCATGCTATAAACACTCAGTTTTTAGTTTTACCTAAGATAACGGGTCTTATTCCATCATCTCCTATCGAAACTTCATCATGGCCGCTGCCAACAAACATCACTTTGGCTGATCCAACATTCCAAACACCTGGCAAGATTGATGTTTTGTTAGGTCAGGAACATTTCTTCAACCTTCTAGAAAATGGAAGAATTGAACTAGACAATATACCTACGCTACAGAATACCAAATTAGGATGGGTATTCGGAGGCAAGACTCCTACAAGCAAGGTCGCAGTTTCATGTCATGCTACCATCAACAAGAACGCACACGACCAACAGCAATCACCGGTACTTCATCAGAAGCAACATCGTCAGCAGACTCCACACTATCAACGGACAAGGCAACATTCACAACCGTCTCAGCAGCAGCAATACCAATATCAGCAGTCTCCTCGACCACAGATATTTTCAAGACAATGGCAAAACTCAGCTAAAGGCGTGATGTCAAGCCAAACACAAGTGGAACATCTCAAAATCAGACCTAATCACAATCGAATGCAATGCAACATATCAAATTTAGAGGCATGTCATAACTCCCGTCCTCTGTATCCTTTGAAATTTGTTCCGAACCACCTTCCACCCATGACACCCGGTCATTTCATGACAGGGGATTCACGTCCAGACCCACACGTCACAGCAGTCCGAGTCACACCTAGACGCCGATGGTCGCATACGAGTGGCTACCGAGAAGAGCAGCAACTCCTGGCTGCTGAAGTCAAACGTCTTTAAGTGCTACCAATCAGTGAGTGATCAGTGCTCTATGTGCAGTGAGTGATCAGTGCTCTATGTGCAGTGAGTGCTCAGTGTCTGTACATAAATCAATTTATTCATTCTATTAATCGTTAATGATTTCAATATTAATCGTTATTTTAATCATAATTCATCTTATTACTTGCATAAACTCGTTACTTTCTATCAATTTAACGTAAGATGTAACTAATTAATTTCATTCAATTATGTTTCAATTTGCCAGTGCATCTTTCATTGTGTTGGAAATCTCATGTAAATACTAATTTAACGCATTATATGTCTTTTATTCACTTGATTCATTAATATTTTTATTTTAACGTACTAGTCAAATTTATATTATCATTTTATATGTCATTGTATATTTAATCTTTTATATTTTTTCTTCATATTTCATTTAATGAGTGTAAATATTAGATTTAACATTCAAGGGTTAATTGCAATTTTATTATTTTTACGTTTGATTATTTCATTTTCATTGTTGTCTTAAATTAGCGTGTTCAATTTGTTTCACAATGCATTTTACAAATGATAGAAACAAGATTTATATCATTCATGTCATATATAGGGTAATTTACATTCTCATCATTGTTAACATGTACTTGTTTAAATATGTTTGTTTTTCGTAGTTTAGTATTATAACAATTTGATAGTTCATGTCATGTAACGTTTTTTGAAAGGGATCCTTTCAAGGCGGGCGGAATGTTCGCGCCAAAACAGCAAGTGTCGTCCCCACCCTTGGGCTTCGGGGGTGTGAGTGACACAGGCCAGTAAGGCACCAACGTTCGGTCGTGTCGGATGTCATTTTCAAGTATTTTAATTTCATTCATTAACATATCGCATTAAGTTTACATTACAAGTTTCAAGTTACATATTTTCATTTATTCATCATCATTTATACAGTTTTAGCATTTTCATCATATTTTCAATAAACAGTGTTTTACTCCATGTGCAGTCTTATATTTCAGCTCCATCAAACCAATTTCATTACATTACATAATTCATTACATTCAGTGCGTCTGCGTACATCGCGGTGCGTACATAGACTTTTAGATACTTTACGTACCAGGATATCCATCCCATCTATGTGGACCAGCTCATGAGCCAATTTTTTATTACATTAAATATAATTATTTTATTGAGCTGATCTATCTTTCAGTGCTGAAAAATTACAGAAATAAATAGCTGAAGTTAATGTATATACCGGGTGTCCAAAACCACCCGTACACCCCTTTAAAAACGAGGGAAACGTTTTCTTACTAACAAAAAATAATACAGAACTAGATAAATTGGTCACGGTCTACCAAATAGTGATAATTTCAAATCCAAAATCACACCGGAAGTGGCTTTTTCAGACCGGAAGTTGACTTTTTAAAATGTAAACTACCAATTTTGATCACAGAATCGGATTCTACGTTAAAAAATACATCCCTTTTGTCTAAAACATTTTTAGAAAAAAACTTGTTTTCTACCCTTAATCCCCTATTAAAGTCAATAATTTTGGGTCATTCATCTGTCAAAGACACTCCAAACAATAATAGAGAAAAACAAATGACTAAGATTACATAAATACATATGATGCATAGGATCAGCTGTTAATTGTAAACGCCTTAGTAATTGAGTAACAGCTGGTCTACACATCCATTATAGTTATTTGTGTAACTAGTGGTGAAAGTGGCACTTTGCTGCACACGAGAGCAATGTTAACGCACGAGCCGCAGGCGAGTGCGGAATGATCTCGAGTGCAGCAAAGGTCTTTTTCACTCGTGTTACACATTATATTTTTCCTTCAGTCACTATAAAGCATATAAATAATTAGTCTTTCAAACACTATACAACACGTTTTTAGGTTCAGCTGGCAACACAAATGGTGCCCTAGAAAAAGTAGTACCCGCGGTCCGTATCACTCCGCTATTTTTCCTCGGCAAGAAATGTGCTCCGCGTTTTGAGAATATAGTTCCGTATGTTTTTGTAATTTGAAGTGGTTTCCGCGCCTAAAAAAATGCTTTAAAGGTATTTTCTTGTTTATTAATATCGTAGAAATGTTTTAAAAATGTTTAAAAGAAATGTCCAGAAAGTTCAGAAATACCGAAACTATAAACACAAAATGACAGGTTAAATCGTAGTTATAATAGTCAATCAGCTGCTCATAGAATTATTATCTTTAAGTGTTGCCAACCTATTTCCAAGCGTACACGGATTACGTGTATAATAAAACCACGCTGTTTTGTGTTGTTTGGTTGGAATCCTGATGTGCGGCAAAGTATAAACCGTACGGCAAAGTATAAACCGTACGGCAAAGTATAAACCGTACGGCAAAGTATAAATATGCAGCAATCAGCAGCTTTCTGTACTATAAACAGTACAGGGAAGCCAACTTTGTCGGGTGACTGTAGGAAAAATTTATTTTTTTATCATTTGTTTTTACATTTGACCACTTTAATGTAAAAACAAATGATTAATTTTTAAAATAAAATGAAACCAAGCAATGTGTACACCAGTTGTTACTCAATTACCATAGTGTTTACAATAAACAGCTGATCCCATTCATCATATGTCTTTATGTAATCTTTGTTATTGATTTTCTCTATTATTGTTTCAAGTAACTTTGACAGATGAATGGACCAAAGTTATTGACTTTAATAGGGGATTAAGGGTAGAAAACAATTTTTCTCTAAAAATGTTTTAGACAAAAGTTATGTATTTTTCAACATAGAATCCGATTCTGTGATCAAAATTGGTAGTTTACATTTAAAAAAAGTCAACTTCCGGTCTGAAAAAGCCACTTCCGGTGTGATTTTGGATTTGAAATTATCACCATTTGGTAGACCGTGCCCAATTTATCTAGTTCTGTATTATTTTTTGTTTGTAAGAAAAGGTTTCCCTCGTTTTTAAAGGGGTGTACGGGTGGTTTTGGACACCCGGTATATATACATATATATACATGATTATTAATGTTTGACTAACATGATAACATTGTGAGAATGCGAAAGCTTATACTTACATCCATGGTTTGCAATACATAGAAGCTGAGTAGCATTGCAGATTGGAATTCTGTTATCTGGAATTCATTTTTATTTAAAATCTATTGGATGAAAGTACATTTTCAAACTAGTTATAGTATAATATGCTAATTATGTCAACTTTTTTAACTTTGAGCTAAGAAGAGACCAAACAAAAATTGTAATGCTATTCTATAGATTCGAAACATTACATAAAGTTCCAGTAGGTACCCGTAATGAATACAAACCCTTTTGTACAAAGTTTTCTTGTCTAGTGTAAAGTATGTTAATCCAAACATTAAACATAAGTGGAAGATCAGAGTGAGACAGGTGAGATGCCTTATACAGGGTGATTGAAAAGTCTAGGTACGGCTTAATATTTTGAAAAATAATAAACGTAGACCTACAAAACTTGGAATCAAGTTATAAGGCATATAAATCTATCTTAACCCATATCCAGTGATCCGCTACCTCTTAAGGGGGCGGCCCGCCAGGAGTCAGAAGAAAATCTTAAATGGAAGCATAGGTCAATATGCACATCAAATTAAAGGTCTTTTTTAGTAGAATACAATGCCGCAAACCGCACTTCAAAAGGTTGATCCTGCGCAAAATGACAGTTGTTCAAAGATTCATTTAATTTACGTTGCTATTATACGCTTTCTCCTCAGGGGGCACAGCCCTAGGAATCGGAAGAAAATTGTTAACGTAAGAATAGGTCGATATGCACATCAAATTAAAGGTCTTCACTTTTAGATTACGATGCCGTAAATTCAAGCTCAAAAGAAAGCCTGAGTAAAAAATGGCAGCCGTTCAAAGATTCAAAATGGAGGATTCAAGAAATCTTTGAACATTTGCCATTTTGCGCAGGATCAACCTTTTGAAGTGCGGTTTGCGGCATTGTATTCTACTAAAAAAGACCTTTAATTTGATGTGCATATTGACCTATGCTTCCGTTTAAGACTTTCTTCTGACTCCTTGTGGGCCGTCCCCTTGAAGAGTTATTGGATCACTGAATATGTGTTAAAATAGAGTTTTATGCCCTGTAACTTAGTACCAAGTATTATAGCTCTATATGCATTATATTTTAAAATATTTAACTGTCCTGGGACTTTTTTATCACCCTGTATATCTTTGTTAATGACAAGATCAGCTGGTTATTTCCCCAAGAACTTGTTACTATGTTACTTAAAGAGACTAACTTTACTGTACCTAGCATGTTGAAGTAATACGGCCTACAGCCACATATCTGATGGAAATAGTGTAGTCTACACTCAATGAGACAGCTACGTTGGGAGTATTGTACTGCAACCTCCAGCTCCGTCTCATCAGGGAAGTAACAGTTGCGTTCTCCCAATGGTAGCCCCCTTACAAGAGATCTTTTACGATTACAAAATCAAATATTTGGTCTTACCACTTTGCTTTTGTTCTGAGGCGAGTTGCTAAAATCAATCAAATATTTGATAAACATTGGCAAACAGTTTTTTTTTTATCTGATAGACAAAAATAGAACAAAGAGAAATACAATATTTTTTACAGCAAAAATTATTGCACAATGTCTATCCTGTAAGAACATTGAATTGAGCAGGTAGATTTCCAGAACAGGCGAGCAGTGTTGCAGCTTCGATAATAATTCAATTCTATCACTTTGCATTCACAGTTGTATTCAAATGTATAAGTTACATCAACAAAACACTAAATGACATAACATTGGATGTGTATCTAAGCCAAGATTTATTGGTAACTTTGAAGGATAAGTAGCGCGATCTTGTAGTCTTCGACATATTTCTTAGGCACAGCTGATAATTAATAGCCCATACAGCTAATGGCAACTAAGGGACTTAATCCGAACCACATTTTTGCTTTGGCATTAACGAATTGGTCTAATTATCAGGATAGTACTGCGGATAGCCATAGTAATCACTAGTGCGGACGTTAATCCACACCAGGGAGTATCACATCCACAGTGCATACCTATAAATATCCACAATTCGTGACCTCCAAGTAGCTGGATTACAGGAGGACACCACCGTCCCAGTCATAAACATCTTACCTGATGGCAGGTAGACTTTCGGTGAGATAAGCTTTGATAGTGGTTGTCATTTTCATCCCAGGTTTGGCCGGGACTAGGACTCCCATTCCGGCCTCAGGGTACTCGTCACTGGTGTGGAGTTGGACCTAACAATATACCATTTGATTGCTGATTGTTTACACTAGGGGCCACGAGAGGCTGCAGTTGGTGGCAGCCAATAGCAGGACTGGACTAGCGTGACGTTGCAACATCGCCTGTTCACTATTTTCAAAACTAATATACTAAACAATATTTTCAAATCAGCTAGTATTATTAGATTTGGCAATAACACACTGTCTTCGTTGGCTCCTTCGAAGTCACGTGGTAAATAGTGTAGTAAATAGTAAATCTCCCTCAACTGCAGACTCTCGTGGACCGTACTGTAGGTGTCATCACACTCATACTTGGTCTTAGTTAGTTGTGTAATTTGATTGATCTAATGTGCTGCTGTTGGTTTATATCTTTGTTTATGGTCCTCTTTTGGGTACTGTTTCTTTAGGATTAACTAGTGTACCTGTTGCTCGAATTCGAGCAATTGCGAAGTATTACAGGCGTTATTTTAAAACGAATAACAGTCATAATTTCCGATTACTTTAAAAGAGTTGGCTCAAAGATTATGAAAATACTCACGATGTACATAACAGTTCGATATAATCAAAATGTCTTGTAAATATCTTTCATTTTTCAAAAGCTGATCTTGTTTTTTAACGTTTTCTACCAATGTTTCCCACTCATCAAAGCCACATTAGGTTGTCCATAATAACGATTATAAACTCTAAAAAACACATCTATTTTCTATCTATATATCTATTTTTTCTACTTGGTGGTGTTCTATGACTTTCCTATGTTTCCATAGTTTGCAAATCGGCTCTTTCAATGATTTATCAAGAAATGCAGCACAGTGTCCAATCCTCCTATCAGTCCTAAATTGAATGTGAAATCTTCAGGCGGCTGTTGGAGAGCACACTTAAACCCAACACGGAAGGGTGCTTGCTGTATTCGGCTCTCAACGACAATAGTATTATCTGTATTTCATTCGCGTCTACCAGTTAAAGTTCGTCGGCCTCCTCCTATTGGCCGTCCTGGTCGACGTCTTATAGTCTCCATTATTTCAAAAGTTTTTTTGGTTATGTTTTGATTTGTGCAAATAAAAACTGGTTTAAAACAGTGAAACATCAATATTTTCAACTAATCTAATAAATCCTTATAGCACATGTCTCCAATTTTAGTATAACTAGCTGTTTCAAATATTAGTGTCAATTTCAAACTACCGGTATTCATCTGTTCAAATGTAAAAAAACATTTTCTCCCTAAGAATAACATGGGAACTTTGAAGGCCACTGGGGCAGAGCCCTGATGAAATTCCAAAGTTTTTTGTTTGATGGCAAAACTACATGCTAAGACCTTTCTAACAACACCTTGGACATGGTGATCGGTAGCACCACCACTCCAAAACAATTATGACAAAAATATGCCTAGCGTATTAAATATATAGATGATCAATTTGGTTGCTTTGGTGTTCTTGATGTTGCTAATCTTTCCATAAACACAGCTTTGTCAATACTGTATGTAAATTTTAAAAAAATCATCAAATATTGATCAAGTTATGTATATTGAATTTCATAATATTCGTTTCTACGTACAGTACATGTTGTGTTCTGCTTTAAAACATTCTCAAACTTGGACAGTTGATATTTAGCTAAATCCTCAAAGGATTCTATATTGGACACCACTGCATTTGGCATACTATGAATTTATGCTATCCCATCGAAAATATGTACTTGGTTTGGCAATGAGCTTATTAAATCCAAGCTTTCATTGCATTCAGTGTCTTCTTCAATTACTTTCATCAGGTTTGCTTTTACTTACACTTTTTTTAGTTGCATTTTCAAAAGCAAGCCTTGGAGGAAAACCAACAATTTTGTGTGTTAAGAGTTCTTGATTGTTGAAACCCCTTTCATTTGCCAACATAACGGTTTGTCCTATCTGGTCTGATGGCTCTTTTGGCTGATGTGACTTTTGGTTCTCGAGATATTTGTGCGCGGTGCCTAGCTAGAGCAATGACCGTGACGCGTGTTACGCCTTTGATTATATTAGGTTTATTGGATCTGAGGATCGTATAGCTGTTAAGTTATATCACAATAGTTTTAACTATGGAAATATTATTTTCCTCTTGTATACTACTCTCCAAAGTTGTTATTTTAAAAATCAGTAGTTCTTAACAACAACAAAATCATCGTTTTTTTCTGCATAGTTTGACATGTCTAACATATTCATATGACTTTTGATTCTTGAGATATAAGCTATTTTGTGCGCAACTTCACCCCCTCCCTATCATGTACCAACCACCTACAACCACCTAGGATGTGCAACCACCTAGGAATGCGACATCATTGATTTTATTCATCTACTAGGTACCTATAGCAATAATCAAAAGTCAAATTTCGTTACACTTTTATGCATGCTCAAACCCCCTCAGAGCCTGGACTAAACCGTTGAATTATGTATAACTTAAGTAAACTAGTTTTGTTTTTGTAGTATTAGATTGAATCATTAATCCATAAATTATGGCTTATCTATTCAAAGTTTTGTGTCATAGAAACTGAGAAAACTGTAAGGTTTAATAAACCTTAAAGTTCTTTCCAATTGTATTACCAACAGATTGGATTGGTTGTGTTAGAAGTCAGCAGCTCATCACTTAGCTATGAGAGGGGCAGGATCAACCAATATTTGAACAGTTTAAACCACTTTCTCTTTAAAGTGTACAGTATCCTCTATTATGAAATTCCCCCAGTGTTCAAACTACAATAACAAATAAATTTAAATGAGGAATTTTGTGTGGACAATTATTTTCTTAATTGATGTTGTAAATTATAGTTGTGATTCAAAATGCTTCAATTGTAAACTTGTGGAATTAATTGGCAACATTATGTATTCGAACCTTGACGCCAGATTCCCCTGTGATGGTAGACCAGTTGATCAGAAGCTGGGAGGTGTCAAAGTGTCGTAGAAACACCTCAATGCCCGTCGTAGTCCCAGCCGCGGAGTTCCGTCTCAAGACACACTCAGTGTCCACCTCCGCTTCCACATCTTTGAAGCTCACTTGCTCATCGTAGGTCAACTGAGGACTAATGTTATTGCCTCTGGTAAGCTATTTAATTTTTACATGTGAGCTGCGGCTAGTATTAGAGATTGAGTATAACAGTATTTTTTTTAACTAATGGGATTTTTTGTTTTATAATGTAAAATTTATGGTTTTTCAAGGTATGGATGGAGTCCTCATGAAAGAGGACTTATAGTGAGTGTTAAAATAAAATGAGAACATGAATAAGAGAAAGATAAACTCTAGGTAGCGAACGAACTTCAACCAGGACGTGATTGAGCCATGCGAATACTTATGAAGTTAAACGGGGAAAAGCCTGCGGGTACAACTAGTTTAAATAAATAAAGTGCAAATTAATGAGCTGATGTCACCTGTCTGCTATGTTATCTAATTGGACGTCTGACACTAAACAACCCTACTTGCAATGTTGCCAATTCTACTAGGCCTCGGCCTGGAGATAAAGGTGGCCGTGCCGTGAGCCAAACGTACCATTGACTTTGGATACTGCAAATAGGCATTTCATATATGAACCAAATATAACATTGACAATCCAAGAAGACATCACATTGACGTGAACCAGACCATTGACTTTGGATTCTGCAAATAAACAATCCATCTATGTCAGCCAAAACCCCTTGACTTTAGATATTGCAAGTAGAAATCACATTTACGAGAAACTGATGAAGTGATGAAGCATTGATAATTAGGATACTGCAAGTAGACTTCCCATTTATGTGAAGCAGATGTACCATTGACTTTGGATAGTGTAAGGAGACATCTCATTTACGTGAATTAGATTTAGCACTGACTTTGGAAAAGAATTTGATTAATATACTAGCTAGCTCCGCTCAATATTGCAAGCAGACAACTGAATTGTACACCTAGTTATTATTTTCCTCTATTTTTTTTAGTTTTGTTCTCAGTATCTGCTTCTGAGGATAAAAAAAACAGATCTTCTTTCTCAGAGGAGCTGTTAACAGTTTATGTATGTAGCAAGGAGTTATCAATACTGTACACCTGCCATCTAATTTATGATCAATAATTTTAAGTTTTGTCTTGTGTGGTATGTCTCTAGCTATCCAAAATGCCCCAAGTATATAGAGTGTTTAATTTCTCATAATTCTTCCTATTTTATTCTGAACATGTTTTTGTTACCCACATTTATTCAACAAGGAGTTATCAATACTGCACACCTGCCATCTAATTTATGATCAATAATTTTAAGTTTTGTCTTGTGTGGTATGTCTCTAGCTATCCAAAATGCCCCAAGTATATAGAGTGTTTAATTTCTCATAATTCTTCCTAATTTATTCTGAACATGTTTACGTTACCCACATTTATTCTAATGTATTCTATTTCATAAATTATTCCATAGCTATTCAAATAAAAATAACTTATTTGAACTTAATTGAAATACATTACAAAGTTTATTCCCTAAAAACATTGACCAAAGATTTAATAGAGTAGAATATATTTATAAAAACTAGACTTTGTAATATCTCACCAGTTGGATAGCCTGTGTGACGTAAAGGAGTTGAAAGAGTAGCAAAATCCTTCCTCTGAGCGTTGTATATGGAAGATGTCACAACAGTTCTCTGTCATCCCGTGCCAGGCGCAGGCGGAAAATACCTCATCACAGGTCGGCATCACCTGGACAATCCACCTTCTTTTACTCTAACTAGAAAGTAACATTGCACATTTATGTTCTCAATTACAGTTTTAAAAAGCATAGAAGACATTAATTTTCTGTTCCGAAATATACTTTAAGGAAAGATTTGTTTTTATAGTCTCTAGGCGGTCTGCGCAAACTACTATTTTAAGATTGTAATATTTCTGAGATGAGCTATTTAATTACTTCTCAAATGTATTATCATGAAATTATTTTATTTCAAAGTTAAAAATAAATTGAGTCAATGTGAATACCTTTAGCATAAAGTCTGTAAGGTTAAGCTTTGAGAGATGAGGTAGTAAATCCTGACAGTTGGCCAGGAACTCGCTCATCCTGCTGTACATCGGGTGTTGCATCATTGTCATCGCGGACAGGAACTGGTCAATGCTGTCATTGTTGACCTTCCCTGTTGTCAGGTTTAACTTTCTGTACAACAAAGATTAGATGGGTTAAAAATAAAAGATATTTTAAATCATCAGAACTTACAATTTCTTCCATTAGCTTGACATTAAAATTGAACATTGTTTTATTGATCCTTCTAACATACTATGAGAAAAAAGTTATAATGGGTAACTGGAGTGGGTAACAATAGGTTTTTATGAGAAAATTACAAAATTTCAATGATTTTTGCAACCCCTAGGTCTAGCCTGAAGCAATGTAAAAATCTATCTTGCACTGGAGCCTAGCGTACTAGGACAAAAATATATCAGTTTTTTTATTTATGGGTTTTTATAGAAGAATCACCATTAAAATAAAAATGTTGTAATAAAAAATCCCTTGGGTATTCGTGGTACTCTATTCTGTTAAAGTCACATCAGAAACTGGCATAACGCTGGCCCCACCCAAAACAGCACTAATTTTAAAACTTATAACAAAAAATAGTGCTACAATGGTACAAATAAATAAAATAGTAATAGAATAAATTGTGATGATTTGTGGGTGGGCCAGCTTCACGTTTTGCCCCACCATCACAAATCATAACCTGATTTACATCATTTACCTGGTGAGCACTATTTTATTATTTGTACCGTTAGGTAGCACTAATTAAGCACTATTTTTTGTAATAGTTTTTAAAATTATTGCGTTTTTGGGTGGGGCCAGCTGGTCTCCGGTACAGCAAAATGTTGGTGGCTCTTTTGTTTACTATTATTGTGATCTCCTTGGTGTGACAGTGCACATCTGCGCTTATCACGTTTATCATGTGGCTACTATTTAATTAATAAAGAGTGCATTTTACTAACTAGGCAATATGGCTTCATTAGTGGAGTAAATTAATAGAACATCTTGTTTATATTTATTCTATTATTTCACAAATGGCGGCCATTTTCCAAAATGGCGGCAAACTTGAAAAGTGAAAACCAGTTTTCCAGTTTTCCACTTCGGCCATTTTGGAAAATGGCCGCCATTTGTGAAATAATAGAATAAATATTTTTAACAAATTTTATGGTCTTTTTGGAATGTGGATGCAATTTTAAGACCTATTTGACTTATTTACTCTTCGCATTTTCGCTATAAACCTACTTGTTTAGGAGCTACATGATGTTAAATATACACCATAGGTTGTAACTCCTAAACGAGTGGGTTTATGGAAAAAATGTCAAGAATAAAAAGGTTTTTAAATTGCATGTTCTATGATAAAATATAGGGTTTTCCATAAGAAATTTCAAAGTTGGCCACCATTTTGGAAAATGGCGGCTGGATTTCGAAAGACTGAAATCATATGTTTAACTGCCACAAAAAATAAATGTCCCCCATTTAAAGTTTTCTCTAATTCTTACCGTTTCCGATATCCCAATGGTGGCCTCCTTGAGTTGATCACTCTGTATATACTGTAGGGCCTATATATATATCTCTCTCTCTATATATATACATATATAAAAATTTGAACGAATGGTGTTTTTGGCCTCTGGGGACATCAAAATGAAAAAGTAAATCGGTCCCGGGCCTATGTCTTACCATGAGACCTACGGTAATAGCTACTTCCCTATAGGGAAATTCGCTAAATCAAAATCTTCATTTGCTAGATAAAACATTTCATTCTTTAGGTTTTTTATTTGTTTATTTTGGCTTACTTACTCGTAGATGTAACTGAAGGCGACATGTCTTTTGATCTTATCAGTAGGGCAGACGGAAACACCGGGAAAAGGAAATAAATACAAAGGATAGTGTGTGTCTTTTACCTGTGAACATGAATGTAAAATATAAATTTAAGTACAACCACTTACGTAATCACACATTGAAAATAAGTAATTACTAGTATATTTCCCAGCATATATTACCTGAGTCACAGTTGGGCCATTGATATATCGCACGACCATAGAACTGCAGAGGGCCAGGGCACAAAATAGAGACATCAGAAACACGACTAACCACATGAACCTGTGCACAATATAAAAAACTAGAAATTATAACTCATCATCAATCATCATGATTTAGCTTTTGTAATTGTTGGTTTTCCTCATCCTGTAATGATTGCATACACTATTCGTCAGCTGTTTTCAAGTTGAAATAACTACTGTACCAGTAATTAAAGTGTTTAAGATTAACAAAAGAATAAAACATTCCACCCACGAAGAGAAAATTATTTTTCCTACAGTCACCCGACAAAGTGGGCTTCCTTGCACAGATTATAGTACAGAAAGCCTTACTTTGGCACACAGTTTTTACTTTGGCGCACACCAGTATTCCAACCAGAACACAAAACAGCGTGCTTTTATTATCCACGTAATCCGTGTACGCTTGAAAATAAGTTGCCAACACTTAAAGATATTACGACTACGATCAGCTGGTGCAGCATTTCCCATTTTGATAATTTTTTTTGTTTAACCTAACATAAAAACGTGTTGTACGGTGTTTGAAAGTTATTTATATTAATTATTATTAAAGTGCCACTTCGCCCACTAGTTACACAAATAACTATTTCCTACAGTTACCAGACAAAGCGGGCTTTCTTGTACTGATTATAGCACGCAAAGTAGCTAATTGCTGCATTTACTTACTTTTCCTGCACTCCAGTATTCCAACCAAACAACACACGTGTGTATATGCTTGAAAATAAGTTGGCAACACTTAAAGATACTACCGGTATGACTACGATCAGCTGGTCCAGTGTTTCCCATTTTATTCAACGCTTGGATTTAACCTAACCTAAATTGTGTTGTTTAGTGTTTGAAAGACTAATTATTTTTATGCTTTATAGTAACTGTAGGGTGTCGGAAAAATATAATGTGTAACGCGGGCGCATAGTTCCACTTTGCACACTAGTTACACAAATAACTATTGTGCTACTTTATCATCCATAATTTACATGATTTTTTTAATTAATAATTTACTAAATATCAACCAATAATATTAAGCAATTCTCATAAGTTCCTGCTACTCACCTATCTATCAGCGAGCATCTTTCATTAAAAATATACTGCAGACCATGTAAAGATGATTCATGAGCATATTCTTTTAGCATCCTTGTAAGAGAATTATTGGTCCAACTATCACTCTTTCTTGTTGTTTTTTTTCTCAAAGGAATTACTTTCCTTTTATGAATTTGTGGAACGGTGCCTGGAAAAATGTTATTTAATGCAAAATTTTCACAATTTGCATTACTAATACTACTATATCATATATCTATAAAGAACTGTGTTTGAAATTTATTATTAACGAGATGTTAGCCCGTCCTACGTACGGGAATTCAGTAGCCAGTTAAAACAGTGTACAATTCAGATCAGCTAGTTTACACATATAAAGACAAAGTTTCTTGCAGTTTTAATGTAAAAAATCATCTTGTAAACAAATGTTGTGTGACCAAATATGTTTTTATTCCATCATAGGCCTATACGATATGCATTTTAAATCCGTTAATTTTAAAATAAAACAGCAATTCTGCAATTTTTACGATGTGAAAAGCGTTGAAGTGAGATTTGCAGCCGATTCGCACAGACGCACACTGATTATAAGTAGCCTATTATAGAGAGAGTAATAGTCAAAATTGAGAAGTGTATAGACCTAGTCAACGATACCACCTTCCATAGCATACCTGCCTCTTCCATAATTATTATCACCACAATACAACTACTATACACAATTTCCAGTAGGTCTGAATAGAAACGACCTAAAACAAAACGATAATATCCAATAAAATTCACAGTACACAAACTTTGGTGTCCTAACATCAAAACGAATCGTCACACCTATCCTTTATATGAATTTCACTGCATTAATTGATAAATAAATATGCGTAAACAAAGAAAAGTAAAAACAATAACAGTTTGTTTTGAAACAGCTGTTTGGTTCAAATAACATTCATTTGAAAATAAGAACTGGTCACATGTAGCAGGAATATAAAAAGTAAACACGCTAGTAAAGCTAATGACGTAATTGTCAATGTTTATTATCTATACCGTTTTCAGTTCTATCCATGATAATTACACACCCTCATTGAATAAATGTACATCTTAATTTCCCATATTAGTTAACTTAAACTACAATATATTCATAGTTGAAATAAAAGTGATATTATTTTCACGTTTGGGGGCGCTGATATAGGTGCCCCCAAACGTAACCACAACTGAACACGATTTTATGTAAGGATGGTTTGTCTAATTGCAGTATCCTAGGTCAATGTTGACGTTGTGTTCAATCTATGTCATCCATCTGTTTATCTTTGTATAAAACCCGGCTGAGGTTGTGGTCGTAATTTAAAATCGTGATTCCTGATTATTCTTGATCTTCTTTTTATGACATCAATATTTCCGGGCCTAATCCATACAAAGTTAAAGCAGACAAACATTAATTGTAAACAAAAAGCTACCATGAAGAATTAAAACATGTAAACATTGTTATTTTTCTAATCTTTCCTTGAAAAGTGGAGCAGTAAAATAATTTGCATTTATCCTTTTTTATTAAGACTCGTGTACAGAGCCTCGATTTGTACTGTGGTTTAATTAATATTGGTTTAAACTGTGGTCTAATTATCTCTACTAATCTTACTTATTTCCTATAATCAATGACAAAAATAAAATAACCTCATAGTTCCATAGTTTATATTTAACCAGCTGTTAGTTAAAACAAATTATATTGCTCTAAAACAAATCGAAGATTACAAAGATTGCTTTAAAAAATAATTTGAACATCCTAGTATTTTACTATGTATATTTAATTAATCTGCCATCCGCTTACAGAAGAATTGAACGTATCAATGATTAGCATTACACATAGTATAAATAAGTCAACCCTAGGTATGTCTTTACATTTTTATCCAAATGCTGAATTTGTGACACAAAAGCTGAATGTTTACAGCTGTTATGTTAAGCAAATTATTTTATGCCAAAAGCTAGTTTAGAATCTTAGCGTCGGCTGCTAGACTTTTTAAAAATTAAAACTTAATTTCTAAAAAACTGGGACCCTAAACTAAAATTATGGCTTCGACATTCCCTAGTTCTCAAAATTATCTTTCTTTCAACCCAAAAATCATGAAAATCCGTAGAGTGGTTGATTCAGAATCGTGAAATAAAAAAACACACTTTCGTTTTAATATTATAGATAAATACATAATAGTTTATACCTACATCAATATATAACACATTTAAATAAATATACATAAATCACAAATACTTGAAAAGAACCGGTATGGATCATAAACATAAACAATTGACGTTTTTGGCCCGAAAATAAACATTATTTAACATTGCTTAAATGGAACTGCCAAAACATATGTTAATGCTATTAGTATAGGATTCATAAGTCATTAGTTGTTATATAGTCATTAGAAGTCATTTGTTTATGTTTATTATCCATACTATGTGACATAAATAAATACAATGTAAAAAATAAATAATAACTAAGCACATACACATTTAACGTGTCAACTCACATTGAGACTTTTTTTCTTTCTCAAATATAGGTTTGGGATTCTGTTTTACAAATATTGTCCTTAAATACAAATACTATTACCAGATTTTCTACTGGCAACAACCACCAAATCTATTGAAATATTTAGAACATGGTGAATGCCAACAATAAGATGGTAATAATATTAAGGTAATCACTTGTTAATTAATTTGTTTTAATAAATATTTACAACCAACCTGGTCCAACATCTATTGTGATCGTTTGCTTGTTAAACATTTTAAGAATATTTCAAAACTTTAGATTAAAAGGCAAGCTACTCTAATTCAATTGACAACTTCTTATAACTGGCTTCAAACTTGCCTAGAGGGAGAAAATTTTCAAACTTACATAAAGGCTGGGCTGACATGTAAACTGATTATGTATATTGTATCTTCTAAGAAGGCTGAAAAGCTTTTCCTACAATCAACAGTTTACTTGGCGCAAATGTAAACAAGTAGCCTTTATTGGTTGAATGGTGGAATGGTAAATGTAGTAGTGAGTTATTTAGAGCGGTTTGTGTTACTCGTTCTGTTTGCTCAGTTTGCTTGTATATTTAATCTTTAGGATACAGTATCTTAAAACCCTTAAAAATAGCACATAATTTAATTTAATCGCACATTTCTTTTGGGTTCAATCTTTGCAGCTGCACAAAAATCTATAACTTGGGTAGTGTGTAGTTAATTTCTGAAAAATTACTTCGCATCATATTGTGATCTAAATTTGAACTGAAAAAGAATTATGTAAATAAAGAGAAAACAAGACAGTTTTCACATGAAATATTCTTCAAATACTAATCAAATTTAAAATTATAGGTAAAAATTTGGTAAAGGGCCCATTCTAAGCACAAGGATCAAGTCGTTGGTTAAAACTGATTACTTTTTATTTGACATGGATGAAAATAATTTAAAAGAGCTGGTGTGCATATTTAGCTAGCGTTTTTCAAGAGATGCTGTAATAAACATTATCATATATGTATACAACTTAATACAATAAGGGTTTTCTCTGTTGCATCTTTTTTCCATCTGTCCACTACAAATTTTTACGATTGAGGTGTCATTTTAAAGAGTATGATCTTGGCCACTTGCGAGGGGTAATTAAATAGGCAATTAAGGTAACTTCCTTAAGGGCTTCGCCCCCTCACGTTTATTTTATTTCTAGAGTCAATTTTCAAAAATCCATATAGTTATGTTGGCCAACTTTCCTGATGTGAAATGTGAATTGTAATTCAACAGCTGTTTCTTCAGTTGAATGTTTAATCAGTCAGATTGTAAACGAGAGACTAAACAGTTTATGAAAATGTATTTTGAATAGCCTACTTTTTTGACAATTTTGACCTGATTGAGGTAGGTAAATCACTCTTTATAGTGTAGATTTAAAGTTGATCAACAAATATGTTGTAAAAAAATAGTAGTTCTATCATACATAAAACCCTTAGTAGATTTCTCATCCTGACGGAGCAGCTGTAGCCGATTTTATTGTTAGTTCTGTCCGAAGCACTGTAGAGGTAGTGTTTGTTTTACAATTTGTTTCTTGTTATTTCAGTAATGTAAAGCCTTGTTTAACTAAATAAAACGATCTAATATAAACAATAACTCGCCCCCTAGTTATATAACAAACAGTAAAGCACAAACCATGAAATTAACCCTAAAATAACAGAAAAAAAATTAGTCGACACTAGCAACCAGTGCCACCGGACATGAACTTGACACGAAAAATGAGCTTCAAAATTTACAATGGGATGAGAAGTCTACGGTTCTATTCACCTAATAACTGTTCCAAAAAAAAAAGGTAAATGGGTATTGCTCTGGATTCAATTTACCTCGGAACAAGTTTTTGACCCTATAAACTGTGAAATTTGTGCACGGATCCCATCTGACATACATATTAACCAGAAGAAAGGCAAATTCTGCCAGTTTTATAATAAAAAATATAAATAAATTTCCTTGTATACAAAAGTTTTGTAGCTATCTATTTTTCATTTGATTAGATACTTCTTACCCAATTATTTTACAATAAAACAACAACTTTGTTAATCTGTAGGAAAGACATAGAAGTGAAAATAGGGGTTTTAATTTGTACTAGTGTAGGCTACATGTTGCTCGAAATCGAGCAATTGCAAAGAAGTACAGGAGTTATTTACAAACAAATTACTTGGTTGAAAACTTATAACAGTCATAATTTCCAATGATTTTAAAAGAGCAAAAGAGCCAACTAAAAGATTATCAACCAATGGAAATACTTACAATTTACATAACAGTCATTTTCCATTTTAAAGGGTGAATTTTTAACAATCAAACTGCCCATGGACGGGAAAAGGTAAGCTTACAATTAAAGGTCAACGTAAAAAGGCTGTCAGCTTTTATTAAGTACCGTACCTAAGTTATTTAGCCAATTTGTAGACAATAAGGTGTAGGCTACTTTAAACTCTACAGGACAGAGTTAGGCAAACACTGGCAGAAATCTGAAATGGTGTTATTTATCATACATAGGCTTAGTCATAGCCAAATCCTTAAAATAAAAATTTAATAACTAACTTATATCATTAAACACAAACCAACATTAAAACTATACACATATTTTAATACAACTTTGATAATTTACACATTGACTGTTTACAACATATCTTTTTCTTCTCACAATTAATTTTTGCTTTGCAACGGGAAAAATTTGTTTAATAATCTTACTAATATTATAAATGTGAAAGTTTGTGTGTTTGTTTGTTTGTTTGTTTGTTTGTTTGAAGTTCAATCACGCATAAACCACTGGACGGATTGGGCTGAAATTTGGCATGATGATAGCTTACATTCCCGATTAACATATAGGCATATTCTTATCTCAAAAATCCTTTCGGGCTCCGCCCCAGTGGCTCTGTAATTCCCAATGTTAACCTTATGAGTATTCATATTTAAAGGAAATTAAAGAATTTAGTCAGCTGTTTCAACTAAAAAAGTTGGTTCTATGGTATGTAAAAGCATTAAAAAGTTATAAGATTTACCAACAGGGTGCAGCACTATAATTTTTTATTGCATTTATGAAAACAACTAATTTGAACTAAGCAGCAACAAAAACTGTGATTCGCAATGATAACTGTCAAAGTAGGATAGTTTACAGTTATGTTTATGTTTTTCATTTCATGAATAATTTGTGATATTTTGCGAATTGTTGATAATTTATTTTTCTCTATTGTTTAGGTGAATTGGTAGAACATTATGGCTATGGTAGATGTGTAATACTATAGAATACTGTAAATGTAAAAAAGCAAATTTGATCAAACTGTGTCCTCCCTTATTGCAAACGCAAAGCTTGAGTATAACTACAATAAGCATTTTATACTTAAATACTCCAACCCCGTACGAAGGACGGGTACTCTTCTAGTTATTTAAATAGTTTTATAATAACCTATCATAAAGTTTAAGATTAAATAAACCTACTACATAGTTGTTTTATTTTTTTATCAGCTGTCTAAAATTGTGAAATAGGCATTTGACAGTTCTGGTTGTTTACATTTAAATGTCAAAGCAAATGTAAACATTGTGAATTTTCTCATGCTTCCATGGAGACCAATTATTAATATTTAATTTCTGACAACAGCTGGAGTTTCAAAACAATTTTTGATTCCCATGTTAATCTTATGGAGAAATACGAAACTTTAAAGGGCCCCAGGGCCTCACTCTCTAATTATTTCCCTAAAAATAAAGTTTCCTGCACAACTTCACAGTACGCTCTTTCCAATGACACCAAAAACATGTCAATCGGTTCAGTAGTTTCGGAGGAGTAATTGTCACAAAATTCCTGCTTGCGTATTAAATAAGTATAGATAGATTACTTGGTATTAATGTTCTCTGGAAATATTTTTAATCAAAACATGTACAATTATTTCAAAATTTTATATATTAATTACCTAGTAATGTAACCATTCCAACTATCTGAATTATTCATAAAATATTTTGACTCTATCTGAACCTGATAATTTGATTTTGCATGGGTGAAGGCAAACCTGAAAATTTTGTATAATTTATATTTTGCTAAGAATTTAGTTGGTTCAATTACAAATTTATTGCAACACATGCTTCTACATTTTTGAAACAATATCTCTTAGTACATGATGGCAACGAAAACAAAGATTACATGTCAAAGAGAAACATTATTGCAAACACACATCACAGCTGGATTTACAAAATGCTTATGTCACGTGGAGTGATAAAAATGAAAGCTAAAATTATAAACCAGTGGTAGCTGACTGTTGGACGGGTGCCAGAATAGTCTCCTTAAACTTGTAATGTGCAAACATACTACTTCGACTGTGTTAGACAATAAATTATGGTCATTTATTTGATTTATTTAATTTGTAAGTTTACAAACATTTGACACTGTAATTAATTATCAAACATTATTTCGTTTTATTCATTCAATCTTTGGAGCCAATACCAATTTTTGTCTTAACTCACAGTAGTTTTCATTTAAATAATTGTTTTATTGAAGCATGTCCTAAAAATCACATTTCAGAAAAGGGACCTCTTGTCGGCCCTATGTTATTTCTACATAAATAAGGTACCTCTTGCCGGGACCATTAAATTTGTGAGATATTTTGTTCTCCATAAACTGAACTTTGTTGTAGTTCTCAAAATTACCACTAGAATGCAGTACAATTCATTTTTAGGGCTAAAGTCTGTTTATAAAGTGAAAATTAATATTAGAAATGGGACCTCTTGTCGTTATGGCGAAATAACATTAAGCGACAAGAGGTACCTTTTCTCAAACCGTGCAGAGGCTAAGAAAATGATTTATTTCGATCTTTTACATCTTCAACTAGATATTTTAACCGATACTGTCCTGTCCTAAGTTAAATGAGGTATAACAATTGATAAAAACCCAAATTTCAATACTTTCGACCTTATAATATTGGCCGTACTGAAAATTTTGCATCGCCAACAAGAGGTCCCTTTTCGCTTTCCACATCACATATGTCTATATATTGATATATATATAAATTTGAACGAATAGTGTTTTTGGCCTCTGGGGACATCAAAATGAAAAAGTAAATCGGTGCCAGGCTCAAGTCTTACCATGAGACCTACGGTAATAGCTACTTCCCCTATAGGGAAATTCGTTAAAAAGGTGTTCTAGTATTTTTCTGTTTAAGGAAATATACAAATTTATCTTTTATTTGTACATAATTTTCCTTCAGGATTGATTTGTTGACATAAAATCAGGTTCTTAACAAGTCATCAATCAATCATATATTTGTCGTAGATGACTATAGTTTTGGGGTTAAAACCCCATTTTCAAATCTTTCTCTTCAGTTCAAATATCTTCTTGCACTTAACGTATCAAACCCGCAGTCTAGTTTTGTCTTTGGCCGGACTCGCACGCTTACATATAGTTTTGTAAATCTAAATGTTTGTGTATGTGTTTATATGTAAACGTATTTTTGACAACGGCATACGGCAAGTGCAAGAAGATATGTTTGAGAATTGACAACTAATGAGAAAGATTTGAAAATGGGCTTTTAACCCCGAAATTATAGTCATCTACCACAAATATATGATTAATTTACGACAGGTTAGTAACCTCATTTTATGGCAAATTTATCAGTTGTAGTAAAAAAACTAATACCTAAAATTTTGGGTTATTTCGATGCTATGAACCAAATACTGCATGCATTATAGGTTTAAAAAATCAATGCTATGGTATGCTATAATTAAGTGACCCTAAATTTCTGTTTAACAGTTCCATTTCCGCCTTTTTGTAGAAGGAGAGTTCTCTGTTCAACTCTTCTCACTTAAGAGAATTAATTTTTCTTGTACGGTATTATTATTTCTAAATTAACCTTGTGAATTTTATCCAGAAGACTTCCAGGATAATACCATAATGATACACTTCACATTTATGAATATATCACTCCATAAAAATATATAATAACCACCACACTAGGATAAAAAATAAATAATTGAAAAAATATATTTATTTAGCAAAATGTTCACAATGTTATCTATAAAAGCTTACAGGATTGAAACATAAATCAAAACAATATGAGCAAAAATCACAGCCGGGTAACAGCGTAGTATTTTGTGGGGATGAAGGGTACAAAGTTGAATTCCTTAAGTACATTCTCGGTGGCTGAATCTCTGTTGGTGACGATAGCGATGGGCGTACGCCTGCGTTTGTTCATCTCTCGTACAACACTGGAGATGAGAAGGGTGTCGTATCCTTTGTGTTGCTCTTCTGGTTCCGTGTGTAGAATGAAGATAGCACCAGCGTGGTTGAGGACTACGTAGCTCAACAGCTTCCGATCACTCTTACGAGCCACACCTGGGACATACCAGTATGCAAAAATGTAAAACATAAAATTGCAGTAAAGAGCAATGGCTCAAGTTTTTTTCAAACGATGATGCTAGTCGAATTTGGATGGTAAACAAGAGTTGAAAAATACCGTTAACCTTTGCAATTTACAATGTTTTTTTTATTCTTCACCACATTCTTAAAAATTCACCAAATGAAAAACCTGTATATTCATTATCTGTAGGTTGGATATAAAATGTTCTTTAGTCTTGTTTTGCTATTAATAACAAAAAGCTGATATTTTATTTCTTAGTCCGTTTTGCCTGTTCAAGTAAGTTAGATGCCAAACTCACTAAGAAATTAAAATGATATGTGTTTACTATATAATTAGTCTAAAACTGATAATGGGGTGTTTTTGTATCACATAGTTTAACACAATTGTTTTATACACAAACAAATTTTAATAATGGTATATTTATCCATAACTGGAACTAATTTCTTCAGTAATATCAGCGGATGTTAACTTCCCAGGTTCCTTGAATAATTATGAATAGATTATTATAGATAATACTTGACTTTCTTATAAATAGATTCTTTCTTACTGAGTTGAAATTAATGCTTTTCCTCTAGACACAGTACCTACAGTATATTATTTAATCACGTTTTCCATGTCCTTTTTGTTTTGTCCAGACTGTACCAGGTTTTGACGTGTTTGAGGCGACTGTCCTATCACCCCTTCTACCACCAACCCCTCTTCCGAGTCTGTTTGACTAGTTTTTGGCAGTGTTCTGTCGGTGCCAAGTCTGTCAACTCAGTTTAGCCATCAACGTGGTCTAATCTTCTGTGCTTGACAATTTACAAAACTATATTTAAAACTTCAAAGTACTTTGTCCAGTGCGAGAGTTTGTTCTTATAACCTTTGTTATATATATGTTTCCAATGTATAGTTTCTCTTACAATAACAATATAATATTTGGTTAAAAAACTGCTTACCCATTCCAAAACTAGTAAGAATGCAGTCTTTGATAACGTTTTCTGAATCTAAGAACTTGAGAGGCCATTTTTCATTAATTTCTTTTGCATGGCCTTCGTTGAGAAATAAAACAGTCACATCTGAAGGAGGAGTTCTGAAACATACAAGATGTGAGTTTTCAAACTATTCTTTACACTAATAAAAATAATCACCTTGAATACTATGCCAAATACAATGTCTTTGTGGATCTACAATTAATTGGCCAGATTCGATCCTAAGAAGGGTCCATTTTCAGCTTTATATGACATACCATATTTGTTAAAAAGCACAATTCTACATTTCTTCTACACTATTTAACAAAAGTAGACAAAAAGAATTAAAGAATGCCTTAAATCTGACGTGAATATAGTAACAGTTTGGTACAGTATCAGTCTTCTCGTACTACTCGTATTCTCAGGCCCGCAGAGCCCAAGAGGTATTGTGGTCCCCCTCCACCTTCCTTTTGGAGGAATCTCCCGGTGCTTATGATTTCTATTATTTTTAGGTGCAGGTTTCCCAAGTTTTGTAACAATTATTAGTGATAATACAAATTTTTTACTAAACCAATGGTTTCTAGAGCTATTCCCGGAATGGCTTTTGAAAGATAAAAAAATTCATTAACATCGGGAGTTGGTGTTTTTTATTTTTCCTTAATATAGTTTATTTTGATGGTAGACAGCTTAATATTACGAGCTTATCAAAAATCAACTAGACTCAACCTCTCGTCCACTTTGTGTTCCTCCACTGGGCTGATCCAGTAGAGGCTGTTGGTGACCTCGTTGTACTTGAGCCCCTTAGTCTTGAGGACGTCCAGTACATAGGGTCTTACACTTCCGTAGACCACATCAAACACTATCTGGTCAGTTTCCCAGGGAACCGTAGAGTCTTGTAGAGCTTGGGCGATGTCAGGGGTCTCGTCTCCGCTGCTGTACAGGTGGATGTACGTTATACCCGCACTGCTGCCCTAGTTCAAGAGTAAAAAATTAACAACTTGTGTTTTTTTTATCTATACCATTGGTAATATTTACTTTAATATTTAAGACAATTCACAACTCTTCCATGTAACTTTTGTAAGCACCATGCATTGACAGCCCAATCCCTCCCAATTGACCTAGCAACCCTCTTATTTTGTCCACACTTGGTATGACACCATGGTGCATGTAAAGTAAGCTATTTTCAATAAATGATAACTAATACAGTACAAAATTTTTGTTGTAAGAATTATTAAAGAAATTTGTTCCGTATAAGTATAATTATTTAGTGAAAATTAAAGAATAACCGTATCAACATTATGATTGTGAAAAAGTATCAGCTGGGTCAATGGACTCACATTTACCCTCTATTATAAAGTAATCGAGTTGAATAATTCTCCTATGAGTCTCTCTAACTAATTGTAAAAATCTCAAATATCAGAATAATAACCATAACTTTTTATTATAACAAAAAATGAAATAATTAACTAAAAATTTGATTGAATTATTATCAGTAGATTCAAATTTAACAGCTTATATTCTATGTACTTACTTGAAATGAAGTTAAAACGATAAACGTCCCATTCTCAGTGTTGTTGCCAACAGTGAAAAGCCTTTGTTTGAAGTTGCAGTAACTTGATTTCTTGAATTCGACCATCATCTTAATCATTTGATGCATCTGAAATCCAAAATTGTATCAAGTATTGTATCAAAATTGTATCAAGCTTGTGTACTTTTGTAACTTAGGATTTTTTTTACCTTTACATTTCAGTATAGTTTGCTAGTTTTAAGAGCTTAGTGAATACAAATTTATAAGATACACAAACACTCACAAAAAAGGAGAAGGGCCAGTCTTCATCTCCATGTAAAACATCAAGCACAGTTTGGATTTTTCCCTCGTCTACTTCTTGTAAAAGATCTGCGTTTCCCATCTTTGCTGTGTTTCTTACTGTTGTCCCATCCTGCAGGTAGAAAAAAACTATGATAACACAAAGTTTAACCATACGACAGCCTTTATTTGGTTATAACAAACAATGCAAAGGTAAACGTCTGCAAAATAATTTTTTACTTTCTTGTGATTTGTTTATGGTATTTTAATAGTATATTTCGTACCTAGGGCCGAAAACGAGGTTCTGCCGGCTCGAGATAGTTTTTAAGTTCAAAACGAAGTCGAGAACTTAAATCGATCGAGAGCTGCAAAACCATTTTTGGTCCGTGGTACGAACACTGTTTTTCACCACACTACTACTATTCACAATAATAATAATGAAAACTGATAGTCAACGCAACTTTAAGGTTATGTGAAGAAGTAATTTCAGGAATCAGCAAAAATAATAATAAACAGTTGCTAGGCAACGGTGAAAATAAAACAATTCTATTTCAATGCTATGGATACTGTTTGTGTAATTAATATGCAAGCGGACAGCTGATTTTGCGGCCCCGGGATGTAAAAACCTGCTTGGTCCCCAAATTACGATGAGAGCTGGCATGGCCAGCAAAACGTAACTTTCAGCCACCAATTAACGTATGTAATACAGCCAAAAACATCATAGTGTGGTGAAAAGTATGTTTTGAAGGATGGCTTCAGAAATTTACTATTTGACACCATCCTTTTGTGTAAACCGTTCTTAGGTATCAGCCTAAACACTATAATAATAGTAAAAGGTACAAAATCAGTTAGCACTGATTGTAAAATGACACAATGACACTAGCAAAGTTTTGAAACTGAAAAAGGTTGTCCTTTTCTGCATTCATGAAACTCTTTCAAAAATATTTGGAGTGCCTGAAAGCTGAAATTCTCTTTTAAAATGTTTACAATCTATACCTATAAAATGCAAAGTCCTCACTGACTGACTCACTCACTCATCACTAATTCTCCTATTCCCATTTACCTATGAGGCTGAAATTTGGTACACTGATTCTTTAGGCATTAAATAGGAAAACTAAGTCATTTTTATTCTTATCAGACTTTCGGGCTTCGCCCCAGTTGCTCAGGAGTTTCCCATGTTAACTCTTAACAGCTGTTTCAGTTAAACAACTTGGTTCTATGATGTTCAATAGCATTATAAAGTTACAAGGTTTACCAACAGGGTGCAGCACTATTAATTTTTTGTTTAAATGTATGACAACAGCTAATTTTAATCGTTTATTGTAAAATACCCCATAACCAACCTTTTTTAGGGTTGGTTATAACCAAACAATTTCTCTATAGGGAAGTAGCTATTACCGTAGGTGGCACGGTAAGACCATAGACAAATAGAATAAATATAGACTGTCAAAGGAAGGTTCCGGCGCCCACCGCTAGGGTTTGCCGTGTAGTTACGGCGCACACCGCTGCAGTCGGGGAGCGCAGGAGCCGTATGCGACCAACAGATGCTGCAGCGGTGTGCGTAACTACACGGCAAACGTAGCGGTGGACGCCAAAACTTCTACTAACCGCAGCACAGCTGACGGTCTATATTTATTCTATTTGTCTATGGTAAGACCTAGGCCCGGGACCGATTTACTTTTTCATTTTGATGTCTCCAGATGCCAAAAACACAATTCGCTCAAATTTGTATATTTTTTTATTTATATATACATCTTACTAATATTTTAAATGTGAAAGTGTGTGTACCGTATTTGTTTGTTTTTTTTTGTTTGTTTGAAGTTTAATCACACCTTAACTACTGGTTGGATTGGGCTGAAATTTGGTACGATGATAGCTCACATTCCCGATTAACAGACATATTCTTATCTCAAAAATCCTTTCGGGCTCCGCCCTAGTGGCTCTAGAGTTTCCCATGTTAACCTTAAGAGTATTCATATTTAAAGGGATTAAAGAATTCTGTCAGCTGTTTTAATTACACAAGTTGTTCTATGATATTCAATATTATTAAAAGTTATAAGGTTCACCAACAGGGTGCAGCCCTATTAATTTTTTTTCATTTATGACAACATAGCTAATTTTAACTAAGCCTCAACAAAAAGCTGTGATGCACAATGAGAACTGTAAAAGTAGGATTGTTTACAAGATTATGTTTTTATAAATAATGTTTCAATATTGTGCGAATATTCGATCATTTACTTTTTTTGTTTAGGTGTAGTGGTAGAGCGTTATGGCTATGGTGTATGTGTTCTATAGCTTCCGTAAATTAAAAGAACCAAATTTTCTCAAACCGTGTCCTCTTCCATTGCAAACACAAAGCATGAGTATAACTGCAATAAGCATGTTATACTTATACGTCAACCCCGAACGAAGGACGGGTATTCTGCTAGTATAGTTATACTCGTATATGTGTCCTAATTTCTCTCTAGACCTTTTTAAAGAGATAAAAAAAAAACTATTTAGTATATCAAAGTGTTTTTGTACGGTTATTGGTAACAGAGAAAATTCAAAAAATTGTAAATTTAAAATTCCTATGTTATTCTTATGGAGAATATTGTAAAATATTGTAGTTTGCTTGTTCAAGGATGATCAAACTTGGCAAATTTATTTATCGTACACTACGCTGTTAATATTTTATTTTAAAACATGCTTTATTAGTTTCCTTGTAGCAGCAAACCTAAAAGTGCTGCTATTCCTGATTTCTAGTAAGTGCAGAAATCACACAACTGCAAAAAAATTTTGGTTATGGAGTTTCTGCAATATTCAAATGAACTAAGCAGCAACAAGCTGTGATACACAATGAGAACTGAACTGTTATGTTATGTTTGTTTTTAATTTAATAAATATTATGTGGTATTGTGTGAATAATAGGGCAATTTTATTTTTTAGTGCATAATTCATCAACTTAGATAGACTTTATTTTTTTCCAATCCAACGTTTTTATAAAAAAAACTATTGTTTTTGTTTTACCCCAAAAAAATTTCTGGGAAACGGATTAATGTGTCAATAACTTTAGTGAATTACTGATCAAGTCATTGATTTGGATGGAAGGAAGTAATATATAATTAGATATGAATCTTTGGAGTATGTCAATAGTGCGTGAAAACTACTTGACCAATTGAGCTGATTTTTTTCTTGAGTAGAGCCAATACAACCACCGGCTTAAAGGACATAGAAGGGCCAGCGAAAGCCCTTGAAGGGTCCCCAAAAATGTTCCTTAACTGAGCGAATTCCGGTCCAGGTATATGCGAGTTGTCGGGACAAGGAATGTTCTTGTTTATGTAGAATCATATCCCACCCGCATACCAGGCATAACGGAATTTAGAAACTTTAGATATTTGTGAGTGAACAATATTTGTGACATAACACTAACAACATTTCCCTCTATTTATTTTAATACTCTACTAGGGCTCTGCCCTGAGAGTTAATTAAGTCCAATGTTGTTCGTCAAAGTAACCATGAAAAGCCTTTCGAAATGCCACTCAAACCGGTACGGCAATCAATAGTTTTATTAATACTTATGAAGTCAAATGGAGCGAAGCCCGTGGGTAACAGCTAGTATAATATAGTCTCCACAACTTTAATGACGATTTTGAAATAATCACACCTAGTAATAAAAACTGTACCAGTACTGGAGTGGAAATGAAAATTAACACATTTTTTATGAGATGATATATTTTTGAATGCATTGAACTGTTTAAAAATCTTACACATTTTTTCGTTCTTATCTTAGTGGCTGTTTCCCCTCAATTTAGGCTCCCTGACATGTATAAATAAAAGGTTTATAGTACTTCGGTTGATCCAGGTATTTTAACCTTCTTTAAAGAAAAGTGCCCCAAATGGTAAACATGTTATCCACATATAAATAGTTCAACACATAACTGTCCCATCTCTGAAAAGAACAAATCTCATCCAGTACGTACATTTATATTGCATTTCAATTCTACATGTAGAGACAATCTGTCTCATCAGTCCGACCGAAGGGATCCAAATGTTATTTTTAAACTTTGTTTAACGGTTGACCCAGTCCCGATGAGTCGCGTCCTCGACTGGCACACTGATCCCTAGCGTTGGTTACACTTTCCCTTTACTATTCGCTCTTCCTCATCTTGAGAACAAGAATTTGCCTATTTAAACTTTCCATTTAATTACAGTAATTACAGTCATTGGTAAGGTATTATTGGCTTTTATATTATCGTTTATTACATTAAGGGGTTAAATGCTGTGTTATTTAACCTGAATATGAGTGAAGAGTGAAATGAAATGAGATGTTAATCTTTTTGTTACTGACTATGCCCAGCTGCTTCTATACAAGGCCCCACTAGAAAAACAGGCCATGCTGCAGGATCCATGACGTCACACTAGTGGATAGATTCGTTGATAGATTCACTGCCATATCCCATATGTTTTAGGTAAAGCTGGCTGTTTGTCAGATTTTAACGGTAAGATTTTAAAACAACTATCCACCACTGTGACGTAGTGTTGCGCTGCCCATGCTGCAGCAAGGCCTGTTTTTCTAGTGGGGCCTTGTTCTCTAGCCGGGACCATCAATTTAAAGCCAATGAATAAAATTAATGCAGAACACTGCAATAAACTTAAAATCTATTACATTTTATCACTCAGAAAGGGTAAATTAAATTTTAAAAGGTATAACCTAATACCGGCTAAACAAAAACACTATCAACATCATTATTCTATACATTTACAAGAACAATGTATTACAACACCCCCTAATACCTTGATTAGGTTGATTCAATAACTGGTTTGACTAACTACAGTGAAAAATGTAGATCTTTTATGTTGTGTGTGAGTGTGTTATATTTAATGAAAATGTCAGAATGCATTCTCAAAAACTGCCTGTATATTTGTAGAAAATGAAGACGAGCAATAAACGCTCAAAACGCATGAACAACAACCTCTGGCAATGTTTAATAGTTGAACACTTGCTTGAAAACAATGCTTTTCATAATTATGTTAAATGTATAAAATTTAAGAAAACAAACCACATATAAGGTATGTTGACAACTATTTGTGCAATTCTCTCAAAGCGGGCAAGGCTTTAAAAAGTTACATCTGCTAATCGTATGGATCCAT